AAAAAGACAGAAGGCAGAAAATTAATAAAAAAATTGAAAGTAACAAAATAATTCATAATACCAAAAGAAATAAAACAGACCAATAATCTATACTCAGGTAACTAAACTATTGTTTGGATAAAATGATAACAGGGAAAATAAAAGGCTTAATCGAAATTAAAACAAAATAACTCCAAACTGTTTGACCATTTCAGACCACTTGAGACACAATGGTGGGCGGAACTGATGTGAGGAGAGCAGAAGGAGACAGGGGGAGATGTTTCCGAGTTGCACTTCACATTCGGTTAGCCTTGTGCTAAAGTTTGTTAGTTACAAAATGTGAAGGGTTGGTTTGCTTAAGCATTAACGTTAGCTGGCGTTAGCCGCTAGCAAGTTGTTACGAGTTACGATTCGCATCCGGTTAGCCTTGTGCTAACAGTTTGGTAATATTAAGACGCGAAGGGTTAGTTTACTTTAAGGCTAGTCGTTAGAAGCTAGCAAGTGGTTTTGCCCTGTGAAGTAAACCGCGTCACCAACTCTGCCTCCTGAAAGGCGGATCTTATGCTTTGGGGTGGTGACTACGTCATTCACGCATGCGTGCGCGCGCACGAGTTACGTGGACGAGGAGTCAATGAGCGCTCGAAGAGCCGATTTATGAATGGGAGGAGTTCTCATTCATAACTTGGTATGCGGCTGACTTCACGAAGGCAAAGCGCGAACCACTAAGATTCGCACAAGCGGTCATTATATATCATGTTGCCGTAACATTGATAATAATATTCGACCATTACAATTAGACAAACAAACATAAAATGCGAGACGTCTCTCGAGGCGGTGCACGTTTGTACACAGATTTGGTCCGGACGAACATAACTGAAATATGGGAATTCACATCCATATCAGATTTTGGTACCATTTAAAAACACGCTTATGATTCTGAGAATTCCTTTCGTCAGAAAGCGGTTAACAGGCAAGCTTGCAGCTCCCGAAATACATTAATGTAGAACCGTCCAGCAGTTCTGAAATTAATTTCGCACGGCGGCGAAGCAAAGAGGTTAAACGTTAGGCAGCTAATCTAACAGTTTGAAACCACGGGAGAAATAGTCTAGAGGTTTTCTAGCTATAAAGGCCTTTTAAACGGACAGGTTTGGGGTTTCCAAACTGTCTTACAAGCGCTGAGGGAGGTGTATTTTCCTCCGACAGGCACACTAATATATTTAAATGATTTGCAGAACGTGCGTCTCAGCAAAATCGATTTAAAATATATATGAACTGCAGTTTAAATTGTTACACTCTACACGGGCAGCTCTCTGCTGTGTTTAGTGAACAGAATGGCTGGAGCAGACTTTTCGTCCTCCCAGTTTTGAAGAAAGGAAATGCTTCTCGCGGTCCTTTTTTTCTATGGCGTGCTTCATAAATCACATTGAATTGGAAAGTTTGTTCCACAGAAAATGTTTGGAAAACTGCCCGCATTCTCCACCAATATATGTAGCATGAAATTAGCTTATTTTATGAATATTAATAATCAACAACAACGGTTTATTCTTAATTATTAATATTCCGGCTTAAGCTTCAGTCAGTTTGGTCAAACAAACATATGATTGTAAATGATCATGCTCGCGCGACCGAGCGGATTCCCAGATTATGAATATTAATTATCAACAATAACGAATTATTATTAATCATTAATATTCCGGATCAATTTATTGTTAACTTGACCAAACGAACACAAGCAGAGCCGCCGCTCTTCCGAGCGGACACTGTAATTTATTCATTTAGAAAAAGGGAATTTAATTGCTACTTCTTGTGAAGTAGATTAATCATTCAAAAGTTTTAAACAACTTATAATAGCAAGGCAGGGGAATCTGTATTTCAGTGACATTTTCTCGTGAGGCAAACAATACAATTCATTTGATTATAATGGAATTTATTGACTAGTCAGACGTAACGAACAAACAAACGCACAAACATACATTAAACACAAAACAAAGGTAAACCACGTGGAGATATCGGGTCTATAGAACGTGTAACAGCAAAGAGAAATAGTAAAGCTAGAAAATATAGATTTCAGATTAAAGAGTGACAAAACTTTCAGTTCCACACGCACCATTACGGACCACCAAGGTTATAAAAAACACCTTTTTGATAAAAGGGGCACAACTTAATCGCATAACTAAAATCACCTGGTTTTTCATGTCTGGAGGTCTCTTTTATGCGTCTCTCTTCCGTCGTGATGAAAACTACTCTTGATGTCCTTTGATGCGTGGAGTTTGTAATGCAGTTCGGACGAACACGATCGCAAACTTTAAACTGAATTTACTTTGCCGGAAAATAAAGAAAACGTGGCGGGAAAAAGTCCATGCGGCTTAGGAAGCCACGTGTGGCCCGAAGGCCACCGTCAATGATGTTCTTCTTTTGGGACGTTCTCTTTCTGCTCAGATGTTTGGGGGGAAGTGTGCTTATACCTGCAGGTCACGTGACAACCCGTACAGCATTCTGACCAATGAGTTCAGGGGAAAGTTTGCGCGCGAACCTTCCTTTGTCTCTGGGCTGCTCGTATGCAAATTTGAGCGCCCGCCTAAAGCATGCGGACAGGCATTTAATACAGGGCTTTAAAGAATAAAGCAATGCGAGTTATGGTCTCGATCTATGCATCATGTGTTATAAAATGTCCAGGGCATTCTATTGACACCAAACACTCTACAAGTACATCACATAGTTCCTATATCCTTACATCATTGATGCTTTTAAAAAGGCCTGCAAGCGTGACTGTGTATAGTCTATATCAGGTATTGTACACATTACAAAAGTTAAATGAAATTAAACAAGAGATTTGGGTTATAAATGTCTTTGTTTAATTTTGAGGAATGTCTTGTCTGTGAGCAGAATGTTGGCTAGAGGTTTTTTTCCTTTTCTTATCTTATCTGTCACGTTCTTTTGAAGTAGGCAGAGAGTGGTTCTGTGAAGTCTCCCAGACTTGTTAACATGTCACCAGGGATTACCAAGCCAGACTTTTCGTCACCAAGTGATTTTATTGTCCTGGCGATTCACCCAGATTGTTTTCTGGAATGTTAAATGCAATGTTTATCTCCAGAATGCAGGTTACAATATGTTACAATATATATATATATATATATATATAATTATAATTTATTTAGTGACCCTGCAAGAATTGTAACCTCAATTACTTGCTTTTAGTTGACAGTAGTATCAACTGTTTGCTTTTCTGCTACTGTAGCTCATCTGCTTCAAAGTTTTGGCGAGTTGTGTGTTCAGAGATGCTCTTCTGCAGTCCTTAAAAGTAATGAGTGGTTAAGAAACTGTTGTCTTTCAGCTTGAACCAGTCTGGTCATTCTTCTCTGACCTCTGCCATCAACAAGGTGTTTTCACTCTCTAGGTGTTTTCTCTTTTTTGGACCAATCAATGTAGATCTTAAAAATGTGTAAAAATCTCTTTAGACGAGCATTTTCTGAAATTCTCATACAGATCTGTCTTGCACCAACATCCATTGCCTATTTAAAAGCACTTAACCTTTTTCTCCATTTTGATGCTTGGTTCAATCTTCAGAAGATCTCGACAGTGTCTGCATATCTAATTATATTGAGTTGCTGCCGTGTGATTGGCTGATTAGATGTTATTTGCATTAACAAGCAGTTGAACAGGCTGACCCTATAAAGTGGCCATTGACTATATTCTAAGAACATTTTGTAATGTATTAAAATGTCTCATTTCTTTTAAATGTTACTTTTGAATTTTCTCAGAATTTTCTGACATAAGTGGTTATATATATATATAAACTTGTACAAACACCAACTCATAAAAAATAGTGGGATATTTTTGGATGTTTGACTAAAAATGTACGTTTTTTTCTGTAACTTTGTAAGTAATTTATTCAAAACTTAATATAAAATGTCATTTGGAGCTTTTTTTAATTGCATTAAATAACAACAACAAGACTTTCATCAACAAGAATCAGTCCAAGGCACTCGAATAAAGTGAAAATTAAAAAGCCTTTATTCACATGGCTAAATTTCTAAAAAAAAAAAAGGGTTCTTAGAAATTTAGCCATGTGAATAAAGGCTTTTAAATGGGTTTTTAGAAATTTAGCCATGTGAATAAAGGCTTTTTAATGGGTTTTTAGAAATTTAGCCATGTGAATAAAGGCTTTTTAATTTTTCACTTTATTCGAGTGCCTTGGACTGATTCCTGTTGCTGTTTTAATAAAGCACCGACCATACATTTGAGCTTACCCCAGAGCACTTTCTGTTTGTTTTTTCTGGATTAACAAGACTGTCATGCTTGCAAATTTGTTTATACTATGTTTTAGACTACACAATACCAGTGTTTAACTTCAGATGAGCTCAGAAATCAATATTTCGTTAAATAACCTTGATTTTTCAAACAGCAAATGCAAACATTAGTTATTTTGACCAACTGTGTTTCTATTTTCTGAGAAAACGTGGAAAGAAATCTTTCAGACCTTATAGATCACAACATATTTTAACAACTAAACCTAATAAATCCAAACAAACTGATAATTTCTAAGTGGTCCCTCAGGCTTATATTTAAAGAGCAGCAGGGATTCTGAACATTTGATGACATAATCTTTGTTTTTGCTAACAGAAGGTTTGCAAAATAATAATAATAATAATAATGATAATAATAACAACACTTTGGACAAATTCGCTAGAGAACAACAAAAACAACAACATACTTTTCCATTCTCACTTATTTGCTTCTTGCAGTAGTAACATTTTTCAGCTTTCAGACACAGCCATTATTAAAGACAACTCTGAATGAATATGCTATTAACATTACCTGAAGAATGTTTGCTCAACCTTTTCAGAACTGCGTTGATCAAAAGTAGCAATGTTTGCAAGTTCCTCCATTAACAAGAGAGTTCAGTAGAACTTGCCACCATAGATTTTGGTAAACACAACTCACGTTGTTGTTTTTAATCAGTTCTTACCATAGGAACCCACTGTAGACCTGACAGGTTTCATCGGAACCTCTCGTTTTAGGAATCCTCCAGACCAGCACCCGTTCTGTGCTCATCCGTGTACGGCAGATTTTCACCACTTCATTATGATTCGAGCAGGAGCTTTGCTCGAGTTGCTCACATTCGTTCTGATTTCTACAATAAGAATGGGATCACCTGGAGCGTGGAGGAAGGCTATGGATCTGTGACACCCGTCTAAATGGGTCTCTTACATACAGTCACATCTGTCAGCACACATTATGTCTGGACTGGGCATGTTCTGTATTTCTACCTGAGGAGCTGACTGGCACTATCACTTGATAAATGTTTTTGTTGTTGTAGGGTGAATAAAAAAAAAATACATGATACAAAAAAGTCATGAGCTAATCTAATTTCTAACCAAAAAAGAACAAACAGTGATTCTAAACCTGAAGATTCTTTATGCAAAAAAGAAAACTGCTTGGTTTTTAGTACTTTCTGGATCAAAATCTAGTTTTATAGAGAGCACACACACCTTACAGTACTTCAGATCTTATTAAAGGATAGTGACATGCCATCATCTTCTGTCTTACACTAATTTATGGACAAAATATAGTTTAGTAACAATAGATGCTAGATTCATGTACTCATTTTTATAGGGTAAAATGTACCTTTTTCTGTAGCTATTTAACAACATCTAAAAAAATTGAATAATCCTAAAAAGAATGGGTCAGTGAGTTTATGTCCACACACATTTACACTATATGTTACCCTGGACCACGACACCACTTAGATGGGTTATTTATTTGGAAATTGAGATCTTCTGAAAGTCGAATAAATAAGCTTTCTATTGCTATATGACTTGTTAGGATATGATAATATTGGCTGAAATGAAATTGTTAGAAATTTGTATTAAAAATTGGTGCATTGTTTGAACAAATCGGTGAACAAAACAGATTTATTAAACAGCTTTATTTATTAAAATAATATTTTAGACACAGAACATCTTTAGAATGAAAAGATAAAACATTTAAGTTCTCTTTTTGTAAAATTTATTTCATATTATCCCTAACGTATAAATTTGGGCTACTAATTTTTGAACAATTATTGTGTTTATTTTGTTAGATAAGCTCCAGATTTGGCTTCAGTACTGACTAAACTAATGTATATGCACAAGTATAATATTGTAAAGCTTCCTATATAAAACACTCATTTAAATGAGAGATTTGTGGGGGGTGTACTCATATATGCTGAGCACTGAATGTGACCCTAGACCACAAAATGACTCAGATGGTTATTTGTTTGGAAATCAAGATAATCTGAAAGTCGAATAAATAAGCTTTCTATTGCTATATGACTTGTTAGGATATGATAATATTGGCTGAAATGAAACTAGTCTCAAATTTGTGTTGATATATCAAAATTAAATTGGGATGTATTCATTGATGAAAATGTACAAAATATCTTATTAATAAAAATGTAAACATGTTGATTCATGCACAATATGTTTTGGCTATTCCCACAAATATACCCATGCAAAATCAAAATGTTTTTTTTGGTCAAGTGTTATATTAGAAATAAAAAAAATATTTCAAAAATGTACATTACACTTAAAGCTTAAAGGTGCAGGACATAAGTTTGACACCCAGTGGTGGAACAAGGTAATTCACTTCTAGTTCAAAACGTATGTAAGCACATATTGCCAGATTGATGTCATCTACAGGAGTGTGCCTGACTATCAAGCCCAAAGGCTGATTTAAGTCGTGTTTTAAATAATAGTAACTACACACAATACAAGGAATAATTTCCAAATTAAAATGAGTTTTTGTTCTAACCAACATCTGAATTTATATTTTAGAAACAGCTTCTACTTCTTGCAACTGAACAGCAGGATAAACTGACAATGATCCCCTCAGGTGCACCTCATGTGCTTTATTCAGTGTTAAATGCTAATAACGTTAGTTTGAACACCATTTTACATGACATGTATTCAGGGCCGGAGTGGGACTCATTTTCAGCCCTGGAGTTTCAAGCCAGACCGGCCCACCTCAGTTCACGACTGATTCCAATTCAGTTACTAATGGCACTATCACGTCTTTTTCAAGAAAACTGCTGCTTTAGAAATTCAAATGTTCAACAGCCCTAACAGTATTTTATGTCTTAACAATAAAATCGAAAAAAAAAAAAAAAAAAAAAAAGATTTTTCATGGTAGGTTCGATCACAGGTCTATACCATTGAAATGCAATGTGCTTACCACTGGACCACATTGGCGCTATTACAGTGAGAGTAAAAAATAACTAATGACTTGCGACCCTTAAGACACAGCACTACTTTCTTTTGATGGCTCAATCTTTTTCTCCTATTTTTAGATTTCTGATCAAGTTATGTCAGATTTATTAATGTAGTGAATCATTTGATTTTCATTGAGCAGGTGTTTTATTCATTTTTTTCGAATTCTTATATTCACTAAGGTGCCGCTGTTTGGGGCGATAGTTGCATTACATCATCATCATTAACGTTAGTTAACCTGCAGGCTGCATTTTTCTCACGGGGCTGCGAGAAAATAAATAAAAAGAGCGGCACTACGGTAAAATAATGATTAAAAAGAGTAAAGCTATGGTCAAAAAAATAAATAGAAGAAAAAAGTGTGACTGCTGAGAGTGCAAGCAGCTAGGGACACCGGCCCTCGCGGCCAAAAAACAGACCGGCCCACCGGGAATTCTCCCGGTCCTCCCGATTAGCCAATCCGGGCCTGCATGTATTGCCATACTAGGGAAAGCAGCAGCAGATAGTTCATCTCAGATCTTGAAAGTAAAATAAACTGTTTGAAATTGAACTTTATAACTGTGACTCAGTGCAAACCAACATATGTCAGTGATTCAGCATGTACATTTAATAATGTTAAAGAGGTTTAATATGTATTAATTGGATTATAATCCTTACAATTTCATTGGAGTGCAGTGAGTGCACTATTCTGTGCTTCTGAATGGCCGTGTTTAAATTTCTGTTATGTTTTGACTGCAAATCTCATCACTTATCATAGGGCTGGATGATATTACAAAACACATTATTATAATATGTTTCATATTATTCGGTATCCATAATTATTGAATATTTTTCAACAATACATTTAGGAATATTAGGACTTTTTATTTAACCACTTAATTTTAATTTACCAACATTACTAAGGCTAATAGATTTAATAGTCAACAACAAAAATATTTAAACAAAATAGTTCATCTCTTTATTAAGAGACTCTTAACTCTTAACCTTGATAAACAAAATATTACAAATTGTGTGCAATGGTAAAGGTAGATCAACATCTGTAAGGTGTCAATAATAATGATACATTAAACCTCAAACTCTGTAAACCAAACTAATTATGATAATCAGATCTTAGCTTTGTGTAAAATAACTAACTGGCATTATTTAAATACATACTGCAACATTACTACATAATTGTAAAGTTGAATGACTATATTACGCACTATGCTAAAAAGTCTTTCACATCCTTACATGCTTTTTTATTTACAATCTCTTCACTGCTGCTTTACGGCACTCATTTTCACATGTGTTATTATGACCTGAAGTGGCAGGTGCTAGCTCATGGTTTCCTTCACCATTTTCAATGAGCTTTGCCCTCATGCTTGCCTGGCGTCTCTCGTAACTAGGCGACCATCAAACATTTTCTCAGAGGATGACTAACTGAGAAACCATTGCTGCTGCTCCGATGCAAGTTTATGGAGAAAAGTAAAAAGCACTGCAGTGTTTGGGTGCACAGTACTTGTCTCAGGTAATTAGTCTGCCGTTACTGAAATGTGAATATTCCATACAAAGTGTGAAGCAGATTGGTTAGTTCTACTTACATGAATCGCAGTGCACTTGGGGCATTCAGAAAAGCTCATAAGTTTTTCAACTAGGTGCGGCTAAAACCAGCTTGACCAGCCTGGTTTAAGCTGGACATAGCTGATGTTAGCTGGTCATCTCCCAGCCTGACCAGCTAAGACTAGACTGGAAATGGCTGGAAACCAGCCTGGAAATCGCCAAAACCCCTCTAAAACCAGCCTGGTCGACCAGCTAAAACCAGCCAACTAGCCTAGGCTGGTTTAAGCTGTTTTTTAAGTACGGTTAGAACAGTCAAAAATGTACATACAGCACCTTTAAAAACTAATTATATCCTGAACAGTTTGATTTCAATGCGAATGTTAGCGTTTCTTCTAAATCCCATAACAAATACAGACATACGAGTTGATGTTTGTATATAAATTTTAATGGATAACAAAATGATAGCATCAAAACATGGCCCCCTTTTCTAAGTGTCTTTATTTTACAAAAATCGTCATCAGCTGCTTTAAATTATGGATTGAGCGACACACAATGACACGTCTGGGTTACACAGAGCCTCTGAGCCGACCATTACTTTTAAAGCAATGCAGAGATAATCTACTTTATGTGCTGCGAACAGAACGCTGCAGAGCTCCACTACAACAGGCCAAAGTTATATTGAACTGTACATGTATTTATTCAATATCGTGTACGATGTGTGGGACTTGGGTTCAAGGCATTACATTCCCTTGTGATAAAGACTGCGTCATCTCGGTGTGGACGAAGAAGGTTCGCAGATCCCCCTTTCCCTTCACGTTGATGATCCCTCGACAGGAACACATGTAGCCCAATGTCTGTAAGATCCAATTTGTCTCCTCCGTGACCTGAGAGAGGAAGCATGCAAGACGTGATCCGATGAAAAAAACATTAATAATTCACCAGGCGTGCAACTGAGACTCTAAGTAGGTCAGAACAGCGATCTACCTGGATTTTCCCAAGCACCCCTGTGCTCTCCATCCTGCTGGCTACGTTTACAGTGTTCCCCCAGATATCGTATTGTGGTTTCTGTGCTCCGATTACCCCTGCAATTACTGGACCGTGGTTTATTCCTGTGTGCGAGAGGAAGGACGGAAATGTTTCAAATGTTTTGAATGTGTGGTAAAGGCTACCGTAACAGCCAACAATGACAGGTTGTGAAATGAGCCTTTTTAACTGGAACTATGTTTTGGTTATTAAACAGTCGACACTTCCAAAATAACGATGTCCATATGTTTTACTTTTGATATGGCTCACTGTGAAAAGTAAATAGTTGTACATGGAACATAATGAAAGACATTAAATGGAAATAGTGTACAAACATTAATAAGTTCACTGGCCTGTTAACCTTCAGCAGAAGTCAAAATCACACACAATCAATCTCTGTCTAAAAACAAGACATGTAGCACTCAGGATTTTTTTTTAATAAAAAAGGGCTTAAAAAGAGAAATTAAAGCTAAATAAACAGTAAAACAAGATTTTTCTGATTGGTCCATTGTTTTGTAATTGATGTTAATGAGTGGCACTGCCTGCAAACGTTGAAATTATTGATGAGTGGGAAGTTCTGATCATTTTAGATGATCGATTTATTTATTTATTTTTTGATTTTCTTTTTTTTCAGAATTTCATTCTGTTTGTGATAAATGTCATTAAAATGTTAAAACGAGTTGCATCTCAAACACAAGAAGCACAACAGCTGATCACACTACAAACAAGTCTTAACAGCATCAGTATAGATCTTTTTCTCAGAACGCGAAATTACCCATTATGCTTTGCGTGATGCGCAAGGAGAATGCTAGGAACTTCCGGACAGCAGCTGATGCGTTCAAACAATCACATTTGAACAGCTAAGAAACTATAAAAAATGCAATCAAATGGAGGGAAAACAGTGTGGCATTTTCTGCAGATTATGAAGCCTCGTCATCGCTAAAGTCAACATTTTCTTTCTTTCAAATATGTAACCAACCTAAACAAATGTAATTCACTATAATGTTTGACACACACACACGTAGCCTGTACTGTCCCACTGACACACTGATTTAAAAACTGTGACGAAGTGAAAATAAAGTGACATTTAAAAATAACACAAACACACAAACCGTGGTAAATACAACACACTAAATGAAACATAAACAGCTTGTGATTAGAATGAACAGCAAATCAGCCAGCAGATCATCAATAACAGACCTATTGGTCATTTTAGTAAATTGCATGACCTACATACCTGTTAAGTGTGTGTGTGTGTGTGTGTGTGTGTGTGTGTGTGTGTTGAAGAACTGCTGAGCTAACAGCTGACAGGCCTGGGAAACACACACACACACACACACACACACACACACACACACACACACACACACTGTATGTATTCCTGACGGCAGACACGTGAACTAGTAGAACGTTTTTGTCTCGCGTTTCAACCACATCTGACAGATAATAACAGCTTTAACATATTAACATACACCTTTTAAAGTTGTGTGTAACAAAAACACTCCGTAATCCATTAAAAACGCTATTAAAACACATTTTCGGAGCGCAAATTACCTATTGTAAACGCTGTAAACGGAAGTTCTAAACATTCTACCGAAAGACGCTAGTCGCTATGGCGCCCTCCATGCACCAGCCAAGAAAAAGGTCTATATTGACACTGAGAACTTCTCAGTGTCAGTATATTGTGTGCAAGGGGTATATGCACAGGTAGGGTTTTTCCCCTAACAATACACTTCCGGTAAAAGGTTGTTATGACTTTCTTCAATTCAATAATATTCCTCTTGCAGCATCAATGTTGTGATGTAATTAAAATATAATCAGTTAAATAGACTTAAGTATTCATTTAATTGTCTGAGTGTAAAACAAGCTAAAAAAAAAGTTGAAATGCTAGCAGTATCAGTTGCAGTAGGCTAGCACAGAAACTCTATTGAAAATACTGGGGTAAAATAAATGTTCATATTTTAAAGCAATGGCGTGGAACAATGGAGTTTAATGCAGTGATTCTTGTACATTCGAAGACCCACTTTATATCTATATATACATTATCCACTATATATCAATCAGGCAGTAAGGATCATTCATTTTTAGAGAAAACAGACTCTAAACGCTGCAATTTTAAACGACACAACAGTTCACCAGAAGCGTTTGATATAGGTAACTGAAAAATTTAAGTCCTTCTGTATATTCCCCATTCACGAGCACTGTGGACTGAGGTAACCCCGCATGATTTCCTGTTTGAAACATCTGAGGTATACATTCACAAGTAACCAAGTGCAACAAAGACAGCATTCTTATAAATGCGAGCAATATACTGACACTGAAGAGAAGAAACTTTAATAATGTTGTAAATCCATTTTGTTTGTTTTTTCACTGGCCTCTGTTAACATTGTATTAATATATTTTGTAGTACGCTGTAAAAAAATGCAGGGTTCTACGCAAATCCTTCATGTTGTGCCAAAACAGATTGATTAAGTTAACTTAATAATTTATGCAAATTTATGTGGTCTGAACATAAACACTTAAGTTGACCCAAAAACACAAAATATTCGTTTTTTCAACTCATTTTAAATAAGTAGTTTGAACAAACAGCAAAATTTATTTTTGAGTACTAAGAACTAAGATCAGACTAAAAAAATAAATAAGTAAATTAATAATAACAACAATGGCTGATCAAGTGTGGCAAGGTAGCTCCATGGTTAGTACTGTCACCTGACAGCAAGAAATTTGCTAGTCTGAGTTTTGGCTGAGCCAGTTGGCATTTCTGTGTGGAGTTTGGATGTTCTCACTCTGTTCGCGTGGGTTTCACCCCAACGTCCACAGACATGCAGCATAGGTGAACTGAATTAACTAAATTATCTGCAGTATATGAATGTGTGTGTGAATAAGAGAGCGTATGAGTGTTTCCCAGTACTGGGTTGCAGCTAGAAGGGCATTCGCTGCATAAAACATATGCTTAGTTGGCGATTCGTTCTGTTGTGGTGACCCCTGATAAACAAGGGACTTAACTGAAAGAAAATTAGGGAATTAATGAAAGGCTGATTGAATGGCTGATTCTACAGCAAACACTAAACCCAAGGGCGCAACTACACATTTGCTGAGGGGTCTGCAAGACTAGTGTTGATGCCCCACTGTTTTTTATTTCGACCCCTAACAGAGCTGACTTTCTGCAAGCCATTGACTTTGTCTCTAACTATTAAATTATATCTGTATGAAGTAATTTACTCGCTCATCCAGCTGTTTCTGAAATCATATTTGATTGCACGCTGCATGACAACATGTTCGTCTATTTTAACAGAAAATCCAGCTTGAGCTTAGAGGGGGGTAAAGACATTCCCCCCATTTTTAATAAAACTGAAAGAAGTATGTTAATATCTTCTTTAACCGTCAGACAGCTGTTCAACTCCAGTCTGTAAAACTCACTTTGAAATCTATTTCCCAACATAGCATGTAATGTTTTTGATTTGACTGAAAATTGCTAGATCGATATGAATTATTATTGGGTTTTTTTTATATGAAATTGGAACAAATACAGTTGAAGTCAGAATTATTAGCCCCCTTTTAATTGTTTTTCTTTTTTTTAATATTTACCAAAATGTTTAACAGAGCAAGGAAATGTTTACAGTATGTCTGATAATATTTTTTCTTCTGGAGAAAGTCTTATTTGTTTTATTTTGGCTAGAAAAAAATCAGTTTTAATTTTTAAAATAACATTTTAAGGTAAAAAATATTAGCCCCTTTAAGCTATATATTTTTTCACTAATTTACGGAACAAACCATCGTTATACAACAACTTGCCTAATTACCCTAACATGCCTAGTTACCTAATGAACCTAGTTAAGCCTTTAAATGTCACTTTATGCTGTATAGAAGTGTCTTGAAAAATATCTAATAAAATGTTATTTACTGTCATCATGGCAAAGATAAAATAAATCAGTTATCAGAAATGAGTTATTAAAACTATTATATTTAGAAATGTGTTGAAAAAAAATAGTCCCTCTGTTAAACAGAAACTGGGGAAAAAATAAACAGGGGGGCTAATAATTCTGACTTCAACTGTACACTCTATGTGCAATTCACTTCCAAAAAACTTTAAAAAAAAAATGATTCATTGAGATAATTCATGGAAAATATGCCATGCTTTAATGGAAGACTTCTGCCACCTGGTGGAAAATAAATATTTAAAAATTAAATGGATGTGATGTGAAATTATCATTAGATGTTTGCAGAAGATAACTCTCACTGGCTCATTTGTCTTTTACAAGCACAGAACTACCATGCTACGGAGACCCAGAAAGGACGGTGGGGGGAAAATAGGTGAAAGAAAAAAAAAACTGGGTGTGAAAAAACGAACAGCTTTGATGAATAGAAAGTGAATGCAGACATTTTTATATTAATTTCAACGTGCTTTAAATATTAAAAATATGGGAAGGTACTTAAACGGGATGATAGCTGGATAAAATGGCAAAATACGGGAGAATCCCAGTGTGAGGGTTGAGAAGTACAGCATGAAGTAAACAGGAAGTGTTTGTGGAACAACAGTTTTGCAAGGGAACGCAAAAGACCTTTGTGAGGGAATGCACAAACTTTAATATATATATATATATATATATATATATATTTCTACCACTTTTTTTCCACCCAATTTTTTTTCTTCCAACCATTTTTCTCCTACCCTCAAGTCCTCCCTCCGTGCTATTCTAACTAGGGCTGCACGATATATGCAATGTATGTATCCGCAATAGTCACATCACAGTATTAGGTAGTTTATTAAAGAATGAAAGACAAAGATTTTATTAATTCACTCATTTTCTTTGCGGCTTGGTCTCATTAATAATCAGGGATCGCCACAGCGGAATGAACCACCATAAAGATTTGATTAAACATACTTTTTAAAAAAATAATTAAACAATGATGACCTTGTTATGTTTGATTGTTCAATTTCTGTACATGAATATTGTTAGACTCTTTCATCTTTGCTTGGTTGTATTTATTTATGCTTGTAATGTATTATTATTTATGCCAATGCATTACGTAGAAAAAGAGTTGATCATCCCGATATATCAAAGTAAACGAAATTGTTTCAAAAAGAGCTATTCAGTTCATCTGGTGAAATTACATACATATCGCACTATATATATATATATATATATATATATATATATATATATATATATATATATATATATATATATATCAATCAATGTCAGATTTTTCCTATATCTTGCTGCCCTAATTCTAACATTTAAAAATCCCTTTTTAAAAGACAAGCACAGTTTCAGTGAAATCAATGTCTCTTATTTTCTTTTACAAATCAAAAGCTTTTGATTATTCAGAAAATTTCATCATAGAATATTTTTACAAAAAAATTGTCTCCGATATACTGAAAAACACATTATTTTGCTCCTAACTGAACCAGACTGTTCAAACAGTCAGCTCTCAATTTCATTGGCTGCAAAATCAGAAGAGGCCAATCAATTTGTGCCATGTAGTAAACTGATTTAATACATTTTAAAAACAGTTTGCTTGTTTCTTTTTACATTTTACAGTGTTCCTCAAGATATGCTGTGCTTTCTGTGCTCTGATTTATCCAACAGTTACTGGCCATGATTTTTATGTTGTTGTTGTGGTGGTGAGAAACATCCCGAATATGTGATGAAGTCTGTACCACAGGCTGTTATGTATGAGCTCCAGCCAATTAACAAAGGCAAACAAAATGTTGCTGGGTGTGAACGTGCTGATGGGTCCTGCTTACCCACTCGCATCCTGAAGTCATTAAAGGAATGTTTGTTGATGACGTCAAGCTTCCCCACCAGAGCGAATGCAAACTCCACCATGGTCCCGATGTGCATGTACTGCCGGTCGTGATACTTCAGAATAAGAACAGGAAACTATCATTGTGCTGAATCTCAGTATTGGTTGGACTCCCGAGACTCTCAAGAGTAAAAACGTTTCAAGCATAGTTCAAGGAAAACAAGACATTTGCAATCAGTCCAGTGCAATGTTTACCAAAATAATATGTTAGGAACAAACTGGAGAGCTCAAATTTGTACCTGCGCGTACTCTAGTCCAGGGGTGACGTTCAGCCCTGTTGCAGCCATGTATGTGCTGCCAATAGTTTTGATCTTCTCCACACCACTGAATTTAGGCTTTGACAGCAGCTGTTGAGAACAGAATCATTTAGGAAGATTTTAAAGAGAAGAACAAGATACATGAATCATCACAACTTTTAGTGATTTAAAGGTTTTAAGGAAACCTCTAATTCATTGACATTTGTAGCCTACATTCTTTAAAATATATTCTTTTTGAGTTTAATAGAAGAAAGAAACTCAAATAGTTGTAGAACACTGGAAGGATTAGGGAAGTATGCTATTTTAAAAAGGGAACTATCACTTTAGGAATGTTTATAGACGCTTTTCACAAGGTGATGATGCAATAACTGGTCATCAGCTTCTTAAATCCTCTAAAGTATATAATATTTATACTTTCAATAACTTATGCTTAGCACCAGACAGAATATGTGGACATTTTTTAAGTAATCCTCAGATTTATGTGGAAGGATTTTGGATGTTCATTTTCCATTGGCTTAGTCCCTTTATTCATCAAGGGTTGCCACAGCGGAATGAAGCGCCAACTTATCCAGCATATGTTTTACACAGCAGATGCCCTTCCAGCTGCAACCCAGTACTAAGAAACACCCATACACACTCATTCACAAACATACACTATGGCCAATTAAGTTTTTTCAATTCACCTTTAGCGCACGTCTTTGGACTATGGGGAAACCAGAGCAAACATGGAGAGAACATGCAATCTCCACACATAAATGCCAGCTGACCCAGCTGGGACTCGAACAAGTGACCTTCTTGCTGTGAGGCGACAATGCTAACCACTGAGCCAACATGTCAGCTGATTTTGGAGTTTAACTAAAAACTTAATATATGAAGTAAAAAAAAAAAAGACCTTTTAAACTTTTTTGTTTGCAAATTCAACTAGATCCGCTTATTTGGTAAACAAAGCAAGTGTCTTATATATATATATATATATATATATATATATATATATATAGTGCGATATGTATGTAATTTCACCAGATGAACTGAATAGCTCTTTTTGAAACAATTTCATTTACTTTGATATATCGGGATGATCAACAAAGACAGAAAATATTACTTTACAAATGATATTGTAAATAAATCATATGAACAATTTCATATTAGTCAATATTAATACTGAAATTAATAAAAAAAATTGAAAAAGTTTATTTACAGACATTTAAATAGGTAAATAAGTAAATAAAAAAATGAATAATATGTATATATAATGTATTTCAATCCTTATCAAGCACATCTCAAACACCTAATTAATGTCTTTTGACAAACTAAAAACTACCAAGTAAGTATGTTGGAGCTGGTTGTTCATATTCTTGGTTGTGACGGACTATCAATGGTGTAAAGTAATGAATTGGAAACATTCAAATGACTGCAATTGACTAGTTTTTCCTCAAGAATTGTGCAGAAAGTGGTATTTTTTTTTTTAACTTTTACTAGAGTACATGTTCATTGCTTTATTGATAAATAACAGTGCTGTAGTCAAACTTATTTTTCACTTTTCTACGGTGATTGGCTAAGATAATCAGTCTTGTGATTCACATTCAATCAAATCATCTAAAAATGGAGCAAACATGTAGAGTGTGGAAGCATTTAGCATGTCACTGATAACAAGGTACAGGATGGATACGTATGATGACTGAAATCCTAAATGATCCTAAAAATCCTAAACAAACAATAACTAAATGCACTACAGAATGTTACGCTTTCAAAGACATGCACGCATTTGATGTATTCTATCAGTTCTGCATGAGCTTGGCTTGTTAGTCAGAGTTTAAAGCGCATAACCTAACTGTAAACATAGCACCACAGTTTGATTTTTGTCTCTTAGGTTACACAGATTTCACACAGATTTTTGAAAACGAACCCATTTTCTCCATTGGAGTATAACAGCGTAAACATAAACCGCTAGAAGTTTGCCACTTATTTTGATTTCATCAAGCATGTAATTGCATTAACCTGCTTTCTGATGGTTTATTGAAGTGTGGATGTGTGAAATGTGATAGGTATGTGTTCTTACTGTAGATTTAAGTGCACTCAGACAGAGCAAATTTTTGCAGGGAGAGAAGAGCACGTACACAGCAAACTCAGAGGCTTTCTCCACCCAAAGAATTATAAGAATGTGTTCTCATCTCATGCAGCAGACGCACGGCACTACAATCAAAATGCTGCATTTTGAGAGGATAATTTATGAGCCTCAATTCTCCTGCTGACATTATAGCTGTTAGTACTGCTGAAAACCTAAATTCGACTTTTTTTCTTAAAAAAATAAGTACAATTGAAATGTAGTTCATCCAAAAATGAAAAATGCCTCATAAATGTACTCTCCCTCATGTGGTTTTAAATATTTACAAGCTTCTTTCTTTTGTTAAACACAAATGAAGAATGCTGGTTGCTGGCACCTATTGACTTCCAGGGTAGTAACAAAAAATTCAATGGAAGTCAATGTGTGCCAGCATCTAGCAGTCTTCAAAACATTCTTCTTTGGTGTTCAACAGAATAAAGAAACTCAAATTTTGAATTTTGAGTTCAAAAAAGGTTTTGAACAAGTAAGGGTGAGCAAATGATCCCACAATCGTCATTGTTTGGTTGACTATCTCTTTAATGTTACAGGAAAATCAATAGTATTTTCTGCTATCCCCACAAGAGGTTGCAAGAGAGCAATAAGAAAAATAGAAAAATCAAACTTTGCATCTTTTGGGGCGAAGTAGTGGCGCAGTAGGTAGTGCTGTCACCTCACAGCAAGAAGGTCGCTGGTTCGATCCTCTGCTCAGTTGGCATTTCTGTGAGGAGTTTGCATGTTCTCTCTGCGTTTGCGTGGGTTTCCTCCGGGTGCTCTGGTTTCCCCCACAGTCCAAAGACATGCTGCACATGAATAGGGTAGGCTAAATTGTCCGTAGTGTATGAGTGTATGAGGGTGACAGGCCCAAACGACAGGCCGGCCGGAAGGTGTAAAAAAAAGTTGTTATCATATGGACAAGTCTAAATGGAGGACTTGTTCCAAAGAGTCAACCCCGCAACCATCAGGGACTAAGGCCAAAGAAGAAGAAGATCAAGCATCGCATCTTTTATTGAAATAAATTACCACTGTGCCGCAGATGCGACAATGACACACCACTGACTAGAATGACTTTAGGTCAGAAATGGGTCATTTCATCACCTCTTCGTACACTAAAAATTTCAATGCATTTAAATGTGCCTTTTTAAAATAAATTTGATAAATATTCAAAATGAGATTTTTTTCAAACAGCCCTAGCTGACATGTGCAATAACCTTCTCTGATTAACAAAGATAAATAACAAATAATATATTTAGAGTTAGACATGAAGAAAAAAACAATGTCACAACTGAGAAATACACTGAATTAATTAAACACCTAAACTGAGTTAATTAAACACTTATAGACACTGTTACGAATCATTTGACTTTAAAAGACCTATTGACATCTAGAGTTTTATGGATTAAATAAATTCACATGCAGTTCACAGCTTTTAAAATGAATCAAGAACATCAAAATACAACTGCAGTCACATTGGTTTAATTCATTGCTCATTATTTGATCCTTTATTAAAACCCATTCAATAATTAATGTTAATGAGCTTTCAATCTAACACTTTTTTTTGCTATTAAGGCATTACATAATTGCTCTTATCTCAAAAAGCCAGACTTTTGACTAGTCTGATCCACTTTTCAGCTCATTCTAGCCAAGAACCACCCACTGGAACTGGAAGAGACCGCCTAAGCATGTAAAGCAGCCACTGTTCATTTTGTTTTTATCTGGCATTTATAGGTGGATTTAGTGGAAGCTGATGATCCTGACTATTTTCTGATGCAGAATCAGTGCAGTGTGCATCAAGCGTTACTTTTTAGCACTGTAGTGTTATTTTTAGATCTTTTCTGGAAGATGCTGTTTAAAACTATCCAAAGTAAAGTAGGCGTGCATTGCATAAGACTGATTGTTTATTTGGCAGTTTACCAGTAATGTTTATAAGGCAGGGCTTAGGAAAGATTAGTTATCAAAGGTGGCATTTATATCTTCACACATTCTTAAAGCAACAGTTCACCCAAAAATGTAAATGTACTCACTATATGCTCACTCTCATGCATCTTTTGTTTAACACAAAAGTTAATATGAAGAATGTTAGTAGCTAAAAAGATGACAGTGCCTATTGACTTCCATTATATTTATTCCTCCCATGAAAGGCAATGGATACCACCAACTGCCTGCTTTCCAACATTCTTCAAAATGTCTCAGAGAAGAAAGCAATACATATAGGTTTGGAACAAGAGGTGTTAAGGTAAACGTAATTTCTCATTTCAGGGTGAACTATCCTATTAAATGTGGTATGTATGAAAGGAAAATCAAAATATTGATGTGTCTGTGATCGTACCTCATCAAAATCTGCTATAATCTCATTGAGGAGCCTGAGACACTCCAACCCCTCTTTATTAACATCAGATTCTGTGTAGAACTCCTTGAAGTCTGGGATAGACGCAAACATCACACACACTGTATCGTATGACTGATGGTAGAGGTCCTGTTAAAAGAGGGGGAAAAACAGCACACAACAATGCATTTCACATAATTCTAGACGTTTTTCATTGCATTGTATTTATTTTTATTTTCTGCAGGGATCAAAATTAGGACAACATTCAATTTCCAAAATCCAAACAGAAGTAAAATAACTTGTAAGAGATAATGTAAGAGATACATATAATCTAAAACATCATTTAACAAAATATGCTAAGAGGTAAGAATGATTCAGTATCACTAGATTTTAAGTGACAACTCATGCTATTAACAAACCATTAACTTAGGCTACTAGCTCAATAAACTGCAAATTAGCTGCTTAATAATAGTTAGTAAAGTGGAAATTGGGTTTAGGTTTTGGGTAAGATTTGGGATGTAGAATAAAATCTTACTTTATAACTACTAAAAACCTTCCTATTGCAATAATAGGCAGATAATAAGCTAGTAGTTAGCATGAATTGTGACTTAAAGTGTTACCAATTATTAATATGCTGATTTCTGCTCAAGAAATGAAACGCTTTAAGACATTTTAACGGATTTGTGTATGTTGAGCATCAGTTAAGACAACGTTAACATCTGTCAGGTTTAATTGTGTGGAAAACTGGATAATTCTGAGCTTTTGTCAGCTAATTTCATCTTTCGGGTTTAAAATCATTATTAGGGGTGGGATTAAAATCGATGACATAGCGCTGATCAGTCCAGTGATGATGGGTCAGTTTCTCATTATAATTCATAGCTGAGTTTTCTTATCCCATGAGAAGAATCTGCGTCTTAATTATTCATGAGAGCACGTGCTTTCCAAAGGCATATTTACATGATCTACGGGGTTTGTTGCATGTTTTTCCCGGCGATGCTGTCAGGGTTACTGATACAGCAAAGCTGTTGGTTTGCAGCAAGCATTTTTGTCATGAGAGCTGTATGAAAATTGAAGAATGGCGGTTGTGTCCGCCATATGTTAAAAATCTTCCAGATTACCAGCAGGATAAATGGTTAGAATAGATAGAGCAAGAGACCTGCTGCACAACTATCCACTGTGTCTGCATTCAGACCCGGCGATTGAGGTGGAGAGAAGTCCTCCTCATTTATACTGTTTATATAAACAGGGTTATCTTTATAATATATATATATATATATATATATATATATATATATATATATATATATATATATATATATAAATATATATATATACACACACACAATATATAATATATAACAAATTCAATTACTTGCTTTTTATTTCTTTGGATTTTACTTTATAAACTATAAAATCATGAGTCTTACAGTTTGTCTCATTTTGTGAGCCAACTGACAGTTGTTTGCTCCCCTCTTTTTCATCTGCTCTGCTCGCAGAGCTCCACACCCATAAAAGCATTTTTTGAAAAAATTCTGAGGTAGACCTAAATTAATATAAGGGGTTTTTATGACCCTTTACATTAATCAAAAGTTATGATAAAGACATTTATAATGTCACAAAACATTACTATTTTATATAAAAGCTAATTTTTTATTCATCAGAAAACTGCAAATATTCTATTCAGTTGTTTTTAACATAATAATTATCTTTTTTTAACCAGCAAATCAGCATTTTTTTAAATAATTATTTTTTCAGGGTTTTCACCTTTAATGGACAGGACAGTAGAGAGTATTGACAGGAAAGTGTCAATACACACACACACACACACACACACACACACATATATATACATACATACATACATACATACATACATACATACATACAGTTGAAATCAAAATTATTAAACCCCCTTTGATTTTTTTTTCTTTTTTTAAATATTTTCCAAATGATGTTTAACAGAGCAAGAAAATTTTCACAGTATTACTAATAATATTTTTTTCTTCTGGAGAGAGTCTTTTTTTGTTTAAATAATTAATAATAAAAAAAACATTTTAAGGTCAATATTAGTAGTCCCTTTAAGCTTTATTTCTTTCGATATTCAACAGAACAAACCATTGTTATACAATAGTTAGGCCTTTAAATGTCACTTTAAGCTGCATAGAAGTGTCTTTAAAATATCTAGTCAAATATTATTTACTGTCATCATGGCAAAGAGAAAATAAATCAGTTATTAGAAATGAGTTATTAAAACTATTATGTTTAGAAATGTGTTGAGAAAATCTTCTCTCCATTAAACAAAATTTGGGGAAAGAAACACACACAGGTGGGCTAATAATTCAGAAGGTTTAATATTTCTGACTTCAACTGTATATATATATATATATATATATATATATATATATATATATATATATATATATATATATATATATATATATATATATATATATATATATATATTTACAGAAGCAGTTTTACTAGTGTTCTTAGACATTTGGACACCACTTACCTCATTCTTCCAGTTCCGGCCCAAGAAATGTTCGGCCACATGGGCAGGTAGAACGTTCTCCAAAAGCACCCGATTCAGGTTCTCCATGGTCTCGATCTCCTCACACTCTTTCTTAAACTTGTTCCTCCAGAGGAAGTCTAACCTACAGTAATATTCATTCTGTTACAAGAGGACACAGAGGTAAAGAGATGGTACACATCTGATCATTTGATGTGGCTTTCAAGATGACAAAGAAAGCAGAATCAAATGCACACAAGGACAGCTCATCTTATTTATTTATGATTTTTTCTTGCATAAAGGGGCCGCTATCATGAAAAATTGCACCAATTTTCTCTGAGTTGCAGCTTTGTGTTTCAGCAGGCATTCATCATGAAAAAAAGATTTCTCGAATCAGTGTAAATGGCACCTTGAAGGGCATTAAGTATGCGCTGATAGTCATTCTTTGCTTATTTTTTGTCTAGTTCATTTCAGTGGAGAAAAATCAGTCCTCGGCTTACCGATCACCTGATCAACCCAACTGCATTACTTATAAATGAATCCGCCTAACTGCACATTTCAAATACAGAGTTCATCAGACAGACCTATTATCTAGAGACAAACAGCCTCTCGTAACAGAATTAAAAGCACGCACTAGAAAAAAAAAATCAAGTCTGACCAACGGATGACCTGCAGAGATAGTGAAAAGGTTTCAAAGCAGACTCAATAGCATAACATTCTTTCTATATTGTCCTTTCAAAAAGAGCTATTTATTAAATGCTTTTAACAGGGAATGCTTTATGGTAATATACAGTTAGAAGCTGATGAGTGCTGATAAGAACCAAAGCTACGAAATGAAAGTAAATGAACGCTGTGGCAGAATTTAAAGGGATAGTTCATGCAAAACGTTAATTTGTTATTGATTTAATGATAAAATCACCTTTCTGTTTCTAAATTAAATGTAAAAAATTAAGTAAATTGTATAAACTCACATAAACAACATTACTTTTGCATTACCTAGAATTGATTTACTAGGGCAGCACAATATATTGTTTTGTTATCATTCCCAATAGTCACACCGTGAGTATACACAATGTTCAATCTGGATTATAATTTAGCATTTTGCAATTATTTTTTAAGGTCTGTTACTTTGTGAGAGGTTTAAATACATTCAGGCGTAAGAAATAGTACCGTTTGTAACTTTGATGAATTAATAATGATTATTTTGATTGAGTCATTTGTCAAAATAGGACTATGAAAACTATTATTTTATATTTTAATATTATTTAATTACTATATACCTTAATACAGAGTGACTTCTCTGAAAACAGTAAAACACTGTTTATTTAATTGGTATCTTTTCCTTTATTAAATTTATTTATGCTTGTAAATTGTTTCTTATAGGCACTTCCCTGCACAATCACCTCAATCAGTCTTAAATTATAAATTCTTTACAAACAGGTATTCAACAAATCTTGTGAAATTGTATTTCTATAACAATATATATCACAGAATAAAAAAATTACAATGTTGGATTTTTCCAATATCGTGCATCTGTAGATTTGACTTAATTTCATATATTTACTGTACATAAAAAAACTTGCTAGGGAAAAAATAAGTTAATTGTACTTACTTTTGTAGGTACTATCAAACTCCCATTGTTTTAACATTCAAGCATCTTTTATCATTTTTAAAATCAATCCCTTAAACCGATTAGTTAAAGAAAAATTATGTTACTTTACATAAAAGTTAAGCTCATTCTATCAGTAACTACACAATAACAATGCTACAATATTTCTAATGCAAATCAGTGAGACAAGCATAAACAATATTTGTTTTGCCTGGTAACTTTTGCTGCCAGAAACGTATGTATTAATGATAAACCCCCTCCTGTAAAAGGACAGCATTCTGTTATTAGAGAGACTTTGGATCTTCTAACATGTGTCCTTCACTACACAACAAATACTTTTGTTTGCATTTAGAGACTATATTTGGATAGACAAAATGTCTCTGTGCGTTATATTTTGAGATTAGAAATGGTATATTGTATGTCTTCAGGGGTATTCATTTATCTTCTTTTTCTACCGACTGTTTGTCCTGCCATACAGTTTTGCGTTCAGTACAATGACTATTATTATGTATATTTTTGTTTGTGTTGTTTTGTTGTATGTTAGGATTTCTTGCAGTTATTTTGTTGGCAAAAAAATAAAAAACATTGATGCTGTTTAATGGTGTAGACTGTTGGATTATGGATAAATTCTAAGGTGTAAAAAGAAAATCTATATCATTGTGAGAGGCTTATAATGTTAGAAATATGAAGTTTTTATTTGTGTCCAAAGCCTTATTATAATTCTTCCAAAAAATGTGTTATGTAAGCTGTTAAAATCGGAATTTCAGTGTTGAAATGAAAAGTTTGTACTGTATTTCATGTATGTTTTTTACCTTCAAGGTCTCCAAGTGAAAGTGAGTCTTACATTATTTTATCATATGTGAGTCTTATTATAAATGGTTCTTTGAGTTCTTTAGATAACATTCTCAAGATCAAAATGCAAACACATCCCCATTCAGACTGAAAGACTCACCTGCCTCGCCAGCACAAGCAAAGTGACGAAGAAAATGAACAATGAGATGGAGCCCATGGTTTTCAGATCTTTCAGAACACCCGGCCTGAGGCAGATAGACAAGAAAAATACAGTTAAAAAGTCAAGAAGACACAAAAGCGGAAATAATTATGTGTGTAGAGTAAGTTATGGAAGACACAGACTTTTTAGCAAAGCTATTGGTCCTAACCTTATTCAGATTCATGATAATATTATCAACTCAAGTTCATTAGACCAGGCCAGGACTGCATATTTGGAAAACTGCAAAAATGTGCCCAGTCATACATCCGGCTGTCAGGGTTCTGCCACTTTGGTCTTGAAAATTCTTGTTTTGGTGGCAGAGCTCTGACACTTCTCATGTCTGGTCCTGTTTCTGTCTCTGTGTGAGCGCGCGCCGTCGTGGGTGTACGTAGAGTGTGCGCGCTCCTGCTTGACGCGGCCGCCTCTTGTACTCGTGTTTGTGTTTTCGTCTGTCAGCAGCATGGTGTTTCATTCCCAGCGTCTCAGTCTTGTTGGTTTCGGTTTTGGTCGGTGCTGGGATGAAGCATGCATGCTGCATATGTGAGCGCATGGTGAGTGTTTTCATTCATCGTGTGCTCGTGTCTTGCGTCTTTTGTCAAAGCACATGGCTCGGTGTTTACATTGGTCACGTGCTTTTGTCGTGTGCTTCAGTGTTGTGTTATGTGAGCGCATGGCTTGTATTGTCTCTCTGTGTCATGCGCTCTCCCGTCTATTGTCTAGTCCCACCCTCCTTGTTAACCCATATTTAGTTAATTGTGTTCACCTGTGTTTCAATTTACTTTTTTGCTTTATAATCCCCCTCATGTTTTCAGTCCTTTGTCAGTTCGTCGTCAATATTACTCTGTCTTGTTGTCTCCAGTCCTGTTTTGTCCTGCCAGCCCTGTCAAGTTTGTTTTTGCCTTTTTAGAAATGTTTTCCCCTTCGGGGTAGTTTTGTTTTGCCTTTTATTTTTATTTGTAGTTTATAATAAATATTCCTTCATTTTTCTGCAATTGGGTCTGCACTCCTTTTTTTCCCTCACCGACCGTGACAGTACGAACTGACCAATATGAGGACCCAGCAGAAAGATGACTCCTTCCTCAGCCACATGCCACAGCTTCTCCGTCTGCATGCGCTGCGGCAACATGGCTCTGAGCTAAAGGAGTTTGCGGAGAGGTTCCGTATGGCAGCAGAGGGGCTTGGGTTCAATGACTGGGCTCTTTTGAATCTCCTGAACTTCGCTCTTGATAAACCCCTCTATCCTCTGCAGATACAGAGATTGGTGGGCTACTCGTACAAACAGTTTGTGGACCATATGGTTAATCAAGTTGCCCATGAATGTCGTCAGGAGAGAATCTGCTCTGTTCTTCCACCAACAGACCAACCTGAACCCAGCTCACTGCTGCCTCCCACAGAGAAGAGGAAACTGAGGAGGAGGAACAGGTCTTCCTCTATCATTACCCCTCTATTGGTGACGGAACCTGCTGCAGCCCACCCAGCTACAACCCTGGCTGCAGCATCACCCAGTGAAGCACCCGCAACAGACACTGCATCAGTCCTGCAGGCAACGGAGTATACTGCAGTGTCTGAAGAGGTGGCCAGCTTCCCGCCACCCAGACCAAGGAAGCGTCGGAGGAGAAAGGGCTCCTCCACCACAACGGCTCCAGCCCCTGAGCGCCCTCCAGTGTCGGCTCCAGCCCCTGAGCGCCCTCCAGTGTCGGCTCCAGCCCCTGAGCGCCCTCCAGTGTCGGCTCCAGCCCCTGAGCGCCCTCCAGTGTCGGCTCCAGCCCCTGAGCGCCCTCCAGTGTCGGCTCCAGCCCCTGAGCGCCCTCCAGTGTCGGCTCCAGCCCCTGAGCGCCCCTCAGTGCCGGTCCCAGTCCGGCTCCTTGCCCTGCCGGCACCACCCAGACGTCTTGCCCTGCCGGCCCCACCCAGACGTCTTGCCCTGCCGGCCCCACCCAGACGTCTTGCCCAGCCGGCACCAGCCCGGCTCCTTGCCCTGCCGGCGCCACCCAGACGTCTTGCCCAGCCGGCCCCAGCCCGGCTCCTTGCCCTGCCGGCGCCACCCAGACGTCTCGCCCTGCCGGCGCCACCCAGACGTCTCGCCCTGCCGGCGCCACCCAGACGTCTCGCCCTGCCGGCGCCACCCAGACGTCTCGCCCTACCGGCGCCACCCAGACGTCTCGCCCAGCAGGCCCCAGCCCGGCTCCTTGCCCTGCCGGCGCCACCCAGACGTCTCGCCCTGCCGGCGCCACCCAGACGTCTCGCCCTGCCGGCGCCACCCAGACGTCTTGCCCTGCCGGCGCCACCCAGACGTCTCGCCCTGCCGGCGCCACCCAGACGTCTCGCCCAGCCGGCCCCAGCTCGGCTCCCTGCCCTGCCGGCGCCACCCAGACGTCTCGCCCTGCCGGTCCCAGCCCGGCGCCTTGCCCTGCCGGCTCCCCTCTGGTCTCCAGCCCTGCCGGCTCCCCTCTGGTCTCCAGCCCTGCCGGCTCCCCTCTGGTCTCCAGCCCTGCCGGCTCCCCACAGGCCTCCAGCCCAGCCGGCTCCCCACCAACCTCCTGCCTTGTCTCCCCTGATAGACTCTCCCTGGGTCGTCCCTCCTGCTCCTCCCTGGTGTTCCCTCCCTGCACCCTGGACGGACCCTCCGGCTCCACCCTGGCTCCCTGCCGGGGCCCCCGACCCACTGAATCCACCCTGGACTGTCCCTCCTGATCCTCCCTGGTCTTGCCCTCCCATCCCTCCCTTGTTTGTCTTGTTGGGTCTGGCTTGGTTCCCCTCCCTCCCTCCCTTCATGTCGTCTTGCCTGTTCACCTCCCTGTCTTGTGTCTGTTGATGTTGCCTGTTTTGTTGTCTTGTAGTGTTTCTTGTCTGTCTTGTACCTTGTTGGATGTTCCCTTTAGGGACGCCAGGTGGCCTCCCTTTTGGGGGGGGCTAGTGTCAGGGTTCTGCCACTTTGGTCTTGAAAATTCTTGTTTTGGTGGCAGAGCTCTGACACTTCTCATGTCTGGTCCTGTTTCTGTCTCTGTGTGAGCGCGCGCCGTCGTGGGTGTACGTAGAGTGTGCGCGCTCCTGCTTGACGCGGCCGCGCGCGCGCTCTGCGTCCCTCAGACGCGTGCGCTCTTGTACTCGTGTTTGTGTTTTCGTCTGTCAGCAGCATGGTGTTTCATTCCCAGTGTCTCAGTCTTGTTGGTTTCGGTTTTGGTCGGCGCTGGGATGAAGCATGCATGCTGCATATGTGAGCGCATGGTGAGTGTTTTCATTCATCGTGTGCTCGTGTCTTGCGTCTTTTGTCAAAGCACATGGCTCGGTGTTTACATTGGTCACGTGCTTTTGTCGTGTGCTTCAGTGTTGTGTTATGTGAGCGCATGGCTTGTATTGTCTCTCTGTGTCATGCGCTCTCCCGTCTATTGTCTAGTCCCACCCTCCTTGTTAACCCATATTTAGTTAATTGTGTTCACCTGTGTTTCAATTTACTTTTTTGCTTTATAATCCCCCTCATGTTTTCAGTCCTTTGTCAGTTCGTCGTCAATATTACTCTGTCTTGTTGTCTCCAGTCCTGTTTTGTCCTGCCAGCCCTGTCAAGTTTGTTTTTGCCTTTTTATTAATGTTTTCCCCTTCGGGGTAGTTTTGTTTTGCCTTTTATTTTTATTTGTAGTTTATAATAAATATTCCTTCATTTTTCTGCAATTGGGTCTGCACTCCTTTTTTTCCCTCACCGACCGTGACACCGGCTGCATTTTGTGTGTAAAATGAATGATATTAAGCGCTACGATGCAACTTTTGTTCCTTTTTTTACACTAACACTAACTGCTTACAGTATGTCTGTACAGACGACTTTTCAGTGAGATCAGTTTGCTCAGTAGCTCACCTTGTACAGCATCAAACTTGGGAAAGACTTCTCAAGAACATGTGCAGGAAGGACATGTAAATGGAATGTATGATGAGCAGATATTTGCAGTAATGTATTTGAAGTTGGCAGAAAAGTACACAGCACCCTCTGGTGAATTTACGAGAAATGGCACGTATAAGAAAACGTGGCCCAGTAACGTATTTGAAATTATCAAAAATGTACATGGCAGCCTTTAGTAAATTTGTAAAAACAAAAACTTCAAGCCAAAAACTAACTATCAACTGTTGTATATATATATATATATAATATGCTTATTATCCATCACTCCACTGTTTGGCCCTATCTTGCGACTGAAGACTGAATAATAGAAATAAGTAGGTTAGTGCAGGCTGTTTGTTAATCCATTTTCCATTTAGCAAGCTTCATGTTTAATAAAGTGCTAGCAAACTATTACAGCTCAGATCAAAGTCTTGTATTTAAATCTTTGTTGTGTGGAAAGTATCCATGTAATAAGCGGGATAATGTACGACCAGCTGGTTGTTTTCACAGAATAAAACCATTCAGTCTTATACAACAACCACCCGCCCTGCAGATAAGCTTTTTTCTGTGAGAATTACCGGCGGAATTATCTTTTACATATCTCTTCATTGAATGTTTTCAGCTATTTCACAGCTTACAACTGTCAGAAATAAACCAGGCTTTGAAGTATGTGAGAAACTAATCGTACACACAGGAGCTGCTTGAGAACAAAGACCTAGAAAAAAATGTCATAAAAATGCAAGATCTGAACAATGTCTATAAGTGTGGTAACAGTAGTATAAGCATATTAATTGACTCCCTTCTGTTCATTTACCTTAGGTGTGCATTATTATTATTATTATTAGTATTATTATTATTATCATCATCATTATTATTATTATTTATTTATTTATTTATTTTTATTCAATGACCTAGTGTTAGTTACTCCAAACTAAAAATTAGTTTTACTAAGGGTGTAAAACTTAGTAAATACTTTACGATTGTTTTACAATTAAAAAAATAGTAAGGAATATATAACTATTTAAAAAAATAAAAGAAAAAATATGTAGTGTAAAATTATCTATAAGATAGTATCAAATGACTTCTGTAAAATATATTTTAACAACTATATTTTGTTCATAAACATATACACTACCTGACAAAAGTCATGTTGTCTAATCAAAATTTTAGGAACAACAAATAACAACTTGGGGCGATGCAGTGGCGCAGTAGGTAGTGCTGTCACCTCACAGCAAGAAGGTCGCTGGTTCGAGCCTTGGCTGGGTCAATTGGCATTTCTGTGTTCTGTGTTATGAGTGTGAGTAATTGTGTATGGATGCTTTCCAGAGATGGGTTGCAGCTGGAAGGGCATCCGCTGCGTAAAAAATATGCTAGATAAGTTAGCAGTTCATTCCGCTGTGGCGACCCCAGATTGATAAAGGCACTAAGCCGAAAAGAAAATGAATGAATGAATGAATGAAATAACAACTTGACTTCTAGTTGATCTTTTGGTATCAGAAGTGGCTTATATGAAAGGCAAAGGCCTCTAGGCCTTTATTTTTAACTATTTAATTAGGACAGTAAGGTTTGACTTTGCTTAGACAAACGTTGTGTCACTTAACAAAAATAATGTACAGTATAAAATATAAAGTCACGGTGCAGTGGAAAATAATGAATATTGTGTATGACTCCTATGAGCTTGGAGGACTGCATCCATACATCTCTGCAACGACTCAAATAACTTATTAATAAAGTCATCTGGAATGGCAAAAAAAGCGTTCTTGCAGGACTCCCAGAGTTCATCAAGATTCTTTGGATTCATCTTCAGTGCCTCCTCCTCATCTTACCCCAAACATGCTCAATAATGTTCATGTCTGGTGATTGGGCTGGTCAATCCTGAAACATCTTGAACTTCTTTGCTTTCAGGAACTTTGATGTGGAGGTTAAAGTATGAGAAGGAGCGCAGAAGAAGTGCTATCCAGCTGTAGAATTTGCCCTCTCCTATGGTTTGTAATATAATGGGCAGCACACATGTCTTGATAATTCAGGCTGTTGATGTTCCAGATCTCTCGCACACTCACATACTAAATGTAACCCCTTCATAAAACTTAACTGATTTTCTGTGAGAATCTTGAGTCCATGCGGGTTCCAGTAGGTCTTCTGCAGTATTTGTGATGATTAAGATGCAGTTCAACAGATGATTCGTTGGAAAAATCTACCTTCTGCCATTTTTCCAAATGATTTGCTAGAGGTGTCACGGTTGATGATGCATGCGCTCTTTCTGTCATGTCACGTGGGATTGTTTTTTATTCTTTCATGTACTGCTGTTGTTTGTTGTGATCACATGACTTACTAACTAGGATCATCTGGTCTGTTTTCAGCCAGCTGTTGGCACTTAGCTTCTGCTATATAAGAAGCGTCATTACGTGCTTCATTGTCAGTTCGTTACTTTTGTTTATGGTTTCTCTGTGTGTCTTGTCAGGACCCTCATTTATCTTGGTTGCTCTATTAACCCGATTCTGTGACTGCCCTTTCTCCCGACACTGGATGTTTATATTGTTACTCGCTAAACTTTCCAGACTTTCCATTAAAATTTTACTTGCAATTGAATCCATCTACCTAGTGTGTTTTCCTGAACGTGACAAGAAGATTTACTAGATTTGTTGCTCTTACAACTGGGATCGACAACAAGACTTTGTTAGGTAGTGTATATGTACACATTTTGACAAACTATTGCAGCATTAATCAATGCTCACTTTAAATGAAAATGTCAAAGTAAGATTTTTTTGTTTAAATAAAAATAAATATGTAAGTGGCAACAACATTTTTGGCTGTTATCAGCAAAATAAATAAATAAATAAAAGGAATGTAATTACAATCCATTCAATCCAACAGGGTTAACAATCAATTACAGATTATATGTTGATTTATCTAAATATTCAGTTTCATTTGTAATTTAGTAGAATTTCTAATTTTGTAACTATCAAAAAGGATTTAAACACTATTATACAATGGCAACATTTAAAAGTTACATTTCCCCCTGACATTTACTGTACTCATTAAAGTGAAGTTGCTGACCATACACACGGTAGCTATAGCTGTAAAATAATATATTATGAATGCTTTATAAAACATGTGTGTATTATCTAAGTCCACAGTGCCATTTCAGTATTCAGATGTTGAAAGCATAATAGGAGTTATTTGGAAAAAGATGGCTGTAAACAAAAAATGATACAGAAAAAAGAGTGACAAACATGAGGAAATACAATAGGTTATTTTTTTTAAAAAGTTTCTTTTCGTTCACCATCATCCGAAAAGTTTAATCCACACAAAGCCTGCAATTTCAGCAGCAGCTCCTGTCACTCACACTCCCTGGAGACATTAAGAGACAATTCCACAATTCCCAAAAATATCTATATGGCACAATTCTTGATGCTATCACTCACTGTGTGTGTGCAGCGTCTCCAAAAAATATCTGCACACTTAATCCAAAACCACCACACACAAAAATGTCTGAATGTCACTGCGGCAGATGATAAAATATTAAACCAAGTGACATTTAAGATTTTTTGTGACGATTATTTGAGGCCAGTGTTAATGGGAGTTTAAGTACCGGTCTGGTTGCTGGGTTTTGTAGAGAGCCATGCTGTAGTCGTCCAGGATGGAGGCATGAGTCTGGAGAATGATGATATTGTAAGCCACTACAGCGCCGAGCATAATTATCATCTTCAGCTCATAGTTTATCCTCAGGAACACGGAGCACGAGATCAATCCCAAAATGCAGCTGTAGATAAAATACTGTCAGAAAGACACAAGCCAGTCAGTTCATGTAAAACACTAAGAGTTACATAATTAAAAAAAAGTTTTTATCAAGTCAAATTTAAGACTTTTTAATATCTTTTTATGGCCATTATAAATGAAATTCAATACTTGTTAATGGCTGAACACTAAGGATTTCTGATATCGACCAGACAGATATATATATATGTATGTATATATATATATATATATATATATATATATATATATATATATATTTATACAACAGTTCTGTCTGGTTCTTGAATCTGATTGGCTGATAGCTGTGCAATATTCTGCAATACCAGAACTCCTACAGCCACTTCACCCTTTGTGTATTACTCCGCCCACATACAACCAGCAAAAAGCAGACACTACAGATCTAAAGTATAAAAGATGCACGCTTAACTGTTAAACTGTCAGCTTATGATTTGAATCCGGAAGAAAGTAGTTCCTCATACAAAAGGGTTTTTGAGACTCTCCATGTTTGATTTAGTTTTTATATACACAATTATGCCGTCAAACTGTTGTATAAATGCAATATCACACTCGTAGCAGTGCAATATGGCTGTATATCGGCACTGGTGGGGGCACCAACGCACGCCTCCCACCGTTGCCGATATACAGCCATATCGCACTGTGTGATATACTCGTGTGATATTGCTCATATATATATATATATATATATATATATATATATATATATATATATATATATATATATATATATATATATATATATGGCTTGCCGCAAAAATGAAATGAAGTTATATATTTATCTATTTATTTTTGACACATTTGGAGTTTAACTTCAGGCTCTGATTCTATTCATAAATAGCATCTGATGTCCCTTGAAATATGACAAAACAGATGTTCCAAGTAAAGTAATATTGTGTGAAAATGCTTGAGGACACATTTGTGTGGTATCTCGATGTCTGCAGAGATCTAATTTCACATAAGCTCTATACAGTGTTGGAGAAAACTATTTTTCCAGCTGTGAAATATAATTACAGAGTGGCCATACATAATCATGCACAGTATAAAGTCGCTTATTATATAATGATGCAAGTGAAACAAATTGGTTTATCTCATGATGCTCATGATTCATCTCACGTCCGTTCTTTGAAGATACAGACAACTTTTCTTATTTTGAAACCCACGCCTTAACAGAGAATTTACTGTTTGTTGTCAAGTGGGTCTGTAAATCAGTGGTTATTCGGGTTAAACTTTTTTCCTGAAAAACAAAATAGCAAGATTTGTGGCAAAAACAGGCACGAGATAAAGTTTGTTGCAACTTACAGGCAAGTAGAACTTGTTGTTTGAGGAGTTTGTGATCTGACCATATGGCCCATCCATACTGCTGTTAGAAATATTAAGTGAAGTTGATGCAACCATCCTGTCTTCACCTAAAAAAAACTTAAAACCAGACAGATGGAGAAAAAAAAATTAAGAATATCACAGCAGAAAGACACCATCACTCTAAGCTGAACACATCTGTTGTGATTTGTAACAAATATGCTTCAACACAAGTTTATAACACCTTTTTTTTACACAAGTGCCAAATTAAGTGAAAACCAATAGGCTGCAAGCAGATGGGAAAAGCAGAAAAGATGACCTGTTGACAATTTTAGCAGAAAAGAAGCTTTTGTGAATATTATTTCTGTCCAGAAGCTGAAGGATTTAATTGAAAAGATACTCAGATGCTAGAAGCATGTTGATTTGTAGCGTATGGGACTTGTAAATACTTCAATTGCATTTCATTTAATATAGAACCACAGTGAATACTTAAAACATAATTAAATACTTGAATGTTACTGCTAGCCATCAAAATATCAATGTTTTATCAAGCCCAGCTGATCTGCTTAACATTTAATATTGTGTGGATTCAAATAACATCAACTTGAAAACCCCAAGAATCCAGTTGCATTGCTTGTGTGTTCCTCTCCCACATGAACAGCCAGTCACTTCATTTCAGGGATAACATAATTTGATCCATACTGGATGAGAGCGCTGGTACACCGATACTAGCCACAATGATGAAATCATACACACAGATGCCACTAATTCTACTCCGCTTGTGCTGTGAATCACCACAGAATCCATAAAGCCCTCCAACTGGGCCAAAAACTCTGTTGCCTGATTTATCAACCAACTGTCTAAATGAATGTGTCATGTCATATTTTTGTAAATACTGAATATATATATATATATATATATATATATATATATATATATATATATATATATATATATATATATATATATATATAATATGTGCCATAGGAATGAAAATCATCAACAGTTAATTAAAAAGGTATAAACTGTAAAAAAGTATGTGACAAAAAGTCATGACGACAAATGCTTAGAAACATTTTTTTGTTGTGCTGGTTGAAAGTCTCTTAATATTCCAATAGTAATGATTACAGTAAATCATCGAAATGTATTTTTATATTCTCCGTAAGGCATAAGACTAAAAAATGTTCATCCAATAAAAAATTGCCGGCCCAATAATTCACATAATTCAAACAGTAGCTTAAACAGTCTGTCAACAAATGTAGATTTGTACAAGTGCGCACCTCTATTCATGCAGATCTGCCGTTTAGTGTTGTGCGTTAATGTGCATATGAGACAGTCACTGCGGTAAAAACAAATGCTGAATCAAAACTTTTGTAGTTGGTATCATGTTTCAGTTTGATATGTTATATAAAACTGAATGTGAACAGTGCCTATGTCACATTTCCCAAGCATTTTCACAAGGTTCAGTCTTTGGATCGGTTATGTTTTATGTACAGACAAATGCTTTGGATAATTAAACTGTAATTATACTATCGTACAGTCAGATGTGTCATAATATTAAGGGTAAATGTTACCTATGTCACATCTATATTAAGGAATTCCTCAGGGTTCAGTTCTTGGTCCCTTTCAGTTTTTCAAATACACAAAAGCTTCACATGGTTAGAGGCTAAGTGTACTAAAACATGGGTTAATGCTTATGTCACATGATTCCTCAGGGTTCAGTCATTGGTCCCATTCTTTTTTTCTGTATACACAATGCTTAGCATGAAAAAGTGTAAATGTATTATGGCACAGGATGATACATCAAATAATTTGTAGCCTAATTTAACAGTATGCCTATTTCACATCAATAAATGTTCTGTACTTGGTGTCCCGCTGTGTTCCACACACACTAAATTGCAACCTAAAACAGAGCTTTAATTGAACAGTGATATTTTTTGTAGCATTATTTGGGTAAAAAAACCTCTGCCATGTGTATTATACTGAAGACTTTCCTGAATTTATGAGCCACAAAGCTAGCAGGCTCTTAACAATCTTGACTTAACCATAACTAAAACCAGCAGTAAATATTACTGCAACTGAGCATAATCTTAATGAGTAATAATGAAGTACTGAATAGGTGATGTAGTGAACGTCATTTCTATATCAAGCATTTTAAAAGCATTCCAATCTAACTAATAGACCAGGTATCAGACAGTAGTGGTGCTCACCATGTTGAATACGGCCATGACTAGGATAAGTGCAGTTGTTGCCATAGTGAGCGCGAGTCGTATCCAGGGCTTGTTGGTGATGACTTTAGAGGAGCTGGGGAGCCTGGGCATTGTGCAGGAAGCAGCTTTGCCCCATTGCTACGGCAACAAGAGAAAAGTGAAAATAAAACAAGACTTAACTCCCACCAACGTCATTAGCATATCCGCCTCTATTTCAAACGCTCAAGGTTATGATTGTGCCCCACAAGTCAGAGACACATTAATAAACATTCCTTCACAGTGAGTGAATATATAACAATAAAAAGGGCATCTATATCAGCTTTGAGTTGAAGCCAACATTAAATGTCATTCTCTATTCATTTTACTTCTATTATTTTCATAAAAATGCAACTGACTGAAATGAGGACTACTTCTCTCACGAAACACAGTTGATATGGATCTTATCCCCCACAGAGACAGACTCCCCTTGGACCCAAAAGCAATTTTACTAGCTCTCTGAGATAACTTTTCCCATCCTTTGTGTATTCAAAATAGTCTTTGTTTAGTAAGTTTATAGCAAGAGATGGACAATATTTTGATTAAATGTCTTTAAAATATTATTTAATTTTGATATTTATATAATATGGGTATAAAAATAATCAGATCTTATTTGTTATTAAAAAGTTTAAGATACTATTTTGTATTTTAAAATATTACATCAAATATTTAATAATATTTAATAATTTAATTAAAAATATATAATTTTATTTTCAAACAGTACAAGAACTTTGATTCCCAAGCCTAAGTGGATTACCAGATATTTAGTAACATTTGTCAAGATACAAACAAAATCATGTGACTGACAACACTCAACTGGAAAAACAAATAGACAAATTAAATAAATACAAACAAACAAACAAACAAACAAACAAACAAACAAACAAACAAAACACAACTAAGGTAATACGCTGCTTCTGAAGCCCAAAATGCCTTAAGGTTAAGTACTAAAATATATTATTAGAAATTGCTTATTGAATGTTATTATTAGTGTTAATACCTAGGGGTAATATAGCACAAGGCAGTAACGGCTCTAAAAAATTTTACATTTTCTTACTAGTCAATGGGTGTTGATAGCATGGTAGCTAATGTTAGCTATTTTTTTGCTCTTTTTTTCTATTAACAAAATCCAATTTAGACTTTACACAGTCTAATATACATACTACTGTATATTTCCTAAGTTTAACATGAACAGACCATTTTAACAAACAAACAAATAATGGTAAATATTCATAAGAGAATATAATTTATAACAAAATCATTTTTTAAAATGTATTTGTATCCATCTTTGTTTATAGCTTAGCCTGTGGTGTAAAAAAGCTATTTATGTGTGCCTTGGCTACCTTTCTGAAAGGCTTAATACTACCTCACTGGACTATGTGTGGCTAGGCTATTTTTCTGAAAGGCTTAATACTACCTCACTGGACTATGTGTGGCTTGGCTACCTTTCTAAAAGGCTTAATACTACCTCACTGGACTATGTGTGGCTTGGCTACCTTTCTGAAAGGCTTAATACTACCTCACTGGACTATGTGTGGCTTGGCTATCTTTCTTGAAGGCTTAATAGTACCTCGGACCTCCTATTCACACATACATACTTTTTCAGAAAATTACCGGCAATTTTCCGGAAAGGGATCATGTGTGATCAGGCCATTTTTGAAAATACCGGTAAATTAGTTTCACCAATGTTTTGGAAAGAGAAGTTGTAACATTGCTAGTAATTTACCAGTATCACTGTGTAAAAAGGGGCATATGTGTGTCTTGGCTACTTTGTCAACCAGCTTAACTCTAGAGAAAAAGACTATGTGGGCCTGGGCTACCTTGCCAAATGGCTTAAATCTAGAGTGTTTGACTATGTGTGCCTGGGCTACCTTGCCGAATGGCTTAATTGCAGTGTGTTTGACTACGTGTGCCTGGGATACCTAGCAGAATGGCTTATATCTAGTGTGTTTGACTATGTGTGCCTGGGCTACCTTACTGAATGACTAAATTTTAGTGTGTTTGATTATGTGTGCCTGGGCTACCTTGCCGAATGGCTTAGTACTAGTGACTGTTATGAGTATGTGTGTATTGAAAACCTTGCTCACTGGCTTGGCACTAAAATCACATACTAAATTTCATTTTTACAAAAACATTGCATTACAGGCTGCTAGAAAAATAGTCCAGCAACCATTAAGGCAAGTGAGAAATTATATCACCACAATCTTGTAACACAGTGTTAACATGAATGCTCAGTTAAAGTGAAATATCAATATGCAAATAGACTTGAAAGAGGAAACAAACAAGTGACAAGGAGCCTCAACACTCATAGTGACTTGTTTAAAAGCTCAAAGGAAATGAGATGGGTGAAAATGTATCCTGAATCCTGCCTCATCCAGTCAATCCTGTCATCATTTCCCCTTCGCTTGTTCTAAACAGCTTTGAGCTTCTTTCTTCTGTTGAACACTAAAGCCGATATTTTGAAGAAAGTTGAAAACCGGTAAACATTGACTTCAACTTGTATATTAAATCATTTATTTTTGCAACTATTGATGTCAGTGATTAAAGGGTTTCCACAATGCTTTCTTCAAAATATCCCATTTTGTGTTCAGAATTAAGAAATTTATAAAAGTTTGCAACCACTTGAGGCTGAGTAAACAATGTGTACATTTTTTTTTAACACAAAGTAAACAGCACAAATTTTTTGTGTCATGACAGAATTCTCAGTTTGTTTGTTTTTTCTTCAGGTGAATCTAAAATCTAACGCAGAAAGGGCAAACCCCTGCCTCCACATGATTTTATCTGAAAGACTTCATGGCCTTGAAGAAATTGAGATCTGTTTGTAAAACTCACCTTGTACATCTGATTGAAGTACTCAAATAATGTCTATAACCCTCCATGACTCAGTGTATTCTACATTGTCAGCAGGTGTATTAGTGGAACTGCAACATAACAGCACTTTACCAAACACTTAACCTAGACCGTGTGCAAGAACACTTTAATACTAAAGAAATAGAGGTAGAGGCACAACACACAAAAAAAGAAAAAACTTGACAAAACCCACTCACCAGTCAATCATGTGTTCATTGCATCATCTATTCAAAAAACAGCTTTTGCTATTTAAACATAGCACTTCTATTGGATAACCTTGGTCTCTCTTTTGTATTTGTAAACATGTGGGCTGAACACGAGATGTTTGAACTCTCACATCAGGTAAATAGCGGAAAAAACTGAGAAAGACTCTTAAATAAATCCCATAGTACTCTAGACACTAACAGTATCTGTGAAAACTAAAGAAAGCCTTTCATAAAAGAAACTCAAAATACAAAATTGGCCTTCATACCCAACACCCCCAAACCCACAGGGACTTGAGTTTGCTGCTGTACAGTAGAAAAATTAGATCAAAAATAACCCAGTAAAAATGATCTTCACTCTAGCTGCTTTCCTTTTGACACTAAAATAAAAAAAAAAAATGTGTTTTTGGGTTAGCATGACGTGAAACAGCTTGGCTAATTAACAAACTGGGGACAAATCATGTCACACTGGTGGGTTAATGGCATTCAAACCCCTCAAGCCTTCTAAAAATATACCTTTGATGCCTCAATACATAGAAAAACAGGTTACTTTGATTACAGCAACATGACAATATGAGAGCCTCATGTAATGCTTCTCCAAAGGTATTTTTTTAAGTATTGACTCTAGTTTGTTTTGGTTTTTAAGACCAATAATATTATTAGCATTGTAACATGTTTCCAGCATGACCCAATTTCTAATGATAAGAATCTCAGTATTTACAAAGTGATTATCATTACTATAATCCAGTAAGAAATACTGAATTAAAATGATTTGTAATTTAATATATAAGAAATATAAAAAATAAGAAAAACATTTTTAAAAATAATGCTATGTACACTGCTACTCAAAAGTCTTTAAGAATTAATTTTATTGTTGTAGTAATGAATCTTTTAAGGTTAACAAGACTGCATTTATTTAAACAAAAATACAACAGAACTTTTATTATTGTGATTACAATTTAAAATGAATGTATTTTTTGTTTGTAACATATTTTTTTGAAAGCTAATACTGAAACATGTTGCTTCTGAAAGCATTTTAATGTGCTGAATTGTTGGTTAATAAACATTTTTAGTATTAAAAATAAAAAGAAGGCCTATAACAAAAGTCACATGTATCAAGATGACTGTACATGCTTAAGAAACAACAAAATGAGAAAGAACGTAGTCAATAACAATATACTTGTGTAGGTGTGAAATATGGCCTCATTTGAAAAGTTCCATGTTTTAGTACATATAATGTTTATTTTTTAATTTTTTTTTTACAGAATTATTCTGGTGATATCAATGACACTAAAATAAGTATTTGACTCAAGTAGTATAGAGTAATTAAATTCCTTATTTGTGACAGTGGACCACAAAAGCAGACAAACAAACAAACAAACAAACAAACAAACAAATACACAAACAAACAAACAAACCAACAAAATGAAACCATGTAAAAGCTGAATATACAAGCTTTCCATCAGTGTATGGTTTGATAGAATAGGACAATATTTGTTTGAGATACAATAATTTTTTAAAATCTGGATAATAATAAATATGTAATATAATAATATAATATATACAATTATAATAATATAATAATATGTAATAAGTATTTAAATTCTTAGCCATGCATACATCCAGCAGGCACAGGACGTCAACATGACATCAGACGTATCATTCTGTTTGGAAATGAAAATTGGCTTGACATCAGAACCCAACGCCAGGTCGACGTCTATGTTCAATGTCGGAAAGATGTTGTATTTTGGTTGCTTTCCAACGCAACCTAAAAACAACAAAATATTAACGTCTAATGATGTTACAGCTTGACGTTGTATGGACGTTACAAATGACATCTATCAGACGTTGGTTGGATTTTGTTTGCCATACCAGACGGATAAATGTCAGTACTTGACAGCAGTATGACGTTGGTTTAAGATGTTGGCTCGACTTTGGATTTTGGTCATTTTCCAACACAACCTAAAATAAACCAAATATCAACACCACTTCATGTTGTTATTGGATGTCAAAATAACATTGTTCTTAGACGCTGGTGACCTAAATGTAACCTAATATTAATGTCTTATGACAATGTGTATTTGCTGGGTATCAATATTAATCAAAAATTGAGTTTTGATATATTTACAATTGGACGTTTACAAAATATCTTCACTGAACATGATTTTTATGTATTATGCAAATAATTTCTTGCATACAAGTAAAACTAACAATTTTGACCCCAACAATACTTTTGGCTATAGCCAAAAATATACATATACAATATAAAAAATAATAAAATAACCTTTCATAAAAAGTAATTAGAAAAGTACTTTAGATACAATTTTAATGAGGCAATTAGTATTAATAACACTTTTAAAAGTAACTTACCCAACACTGCATGTGTGTGTAGCTGTTATGTTAATTCTCTGCTTTGTTTTTGTAAATAAAGTAAATGGGCTCCAGTATAATATTCCCTTACTTGCATGTGACAAACCACTAATGGTCCTAAAAATAGACTTAATTTTCTTTAGGAAAACAACTCCTCATTACTTTCTTTTGATTTGTGATGGGATATGACCAGAGCAAGCTCTTGACAGATTTCCCAGGAGTGAATGTACAGGCCTTTGAATATTGAATAAGCCATTTTTGCTGTAAGCTTTCATAATATACGAAGAAAGAAAAAGCAGAGGAAAGAAAATGGAGAGATATACAGGTGACATTTACTTAAGCCATTTATGTTCCACAGGTCCAAAGTAGCTCGTAATTTGATTATAGACAACCCTGTCTAAGAGCAGAAAAATAATGGTTTCCCTTAGGCTAAAACAAGGAAATTTCAATCTTGTTTTGATATGGTGTTTTTTTCCACTCCGTATGGCATTTTCTCTAACAGGATGAGGGTCTCAAATATAGGAGAACCTTGACTTATTAAATGACATTTCAGTACACACTTATTTCCCTGATGGAAAATGAAAAAAAGAAAAAAAAAACATTTAACATGTCTACAACTGAATAGAACCAAAAAGAAAAGACAATCTGCTTCAATCAGTCTCGGAAAAGCTACTAATTTACATTTCTAAAAGTGCGAGCTGCACTTACCAGTATATGACCGGCAAAACAAATGCAGAGGATCAAGGCGAGCAGCAGGAAGGCCATTCCAAACGATACTTCAAGAACGGTGGTTCTGACAGAGACAAAAACATCAGCCATACTCCAAAAACATAGACATGTCATCTATACTACACACACACACAAACACGCACACACGCACACGCACACACACACACACACAAGATACAAACTACTTCTCAGCAAGTGTGAATAACTTAATTTCTAAATAAAATGTTTATTTTTTGTTGTTGTTGTAGTGTTTGTCTGTGAAACACTTTTGGTAAAATAAGCCCAAAACTCAAGCAATGGGTTAAAGCTGGTTTAAAATGATACATGACAAATTTTAACCCAGTGATTTGTCCATATTTTATCAAAATAAACTTGCATTTTTATACTGTTGATGCTGAAATAAAGTTGGTTGGTACATTGCTTATAAGTATGTCCACCCGGAATCTGCATGCACAGAATTCCGCAGATTTGTAGCCCATCATTAATTCTGTTTCTTTACTTGAGTAAATATGTGTAAATCTATATTTATTCAGTTTTCAAATTAATTACAGTAATATTATTGACTAAAAAGAAAATGTTCATCTGATTTTTTTAAAATGCAGTTTGTACAGTAATATTTTCTGTCTTTAGTAGATATATTATATGAGAGAATTGCTTTGTTTACCAAAAAAGTGAATCTAAGTGGATTTGCATTTCAAACATTAAATAAAAGTTAAAAAGATATAATTTTTTTATTTCATATATTAAGGTTTTAGTTATGATACTCCCAAAATCATTCCGCAGAAATACACAGATTTTTAGCAAAATTTTCCACAGCCTACTTATAAGTTGCCATGGTGTGTTTTTTGCCATCTATTAGACGTTTTAGGTGGTCAATTAGAATAATTTCTAACAAGTCAATATTAAATGTTGAGATTTTTTTAAATTGTGAATGTTGTTTAAAGTTCAGATGTAGTCATTTCATTGAACTATATTATTTTATTAAATAACAAATATATTTCACATGGTTATATTCACATTTAGTGCACAGTATAGTTATATATATATATATATATATATATATATATATATATATATATAATATTTATAACAGCTCTAGGGTGCGTTTCCCTAGCAACGACGTAACTTGTGGCTGAACTATCATAGTGCGATGCATCGTTTGTGAAAAGAACTATGTAGTGACAAGTGTTTCCCAAAACCCCTAGTTTCTCTGTCACAGATCAATTGCTTGAACCACGTTAGTTATAACGTAATACACCCATAATGACACTCTAAACTGGGTGGAGTAACTACTTTAAAGAAAAACACATAATTTCTTTGTACAAATTATACTGTTTTACACATACACGCGTTTAAAATAAAATCCAATATTAGATTTGGTAAAAACATGCAGTCACTTTCCATATTAACTGAAATATATGTAAATGGCACATATAAGGCCTATGTTTGCTTTACTAATATTATTGAGAAGTTATTATTCTATTTTAAAACATATCACTTACAAAAGCAAACACGCATTCTAATATAATATAAATCATATAAATAAATAATGAGGCTATTATAAAATGAAATGTAATATTTATTATTTTTTAGAAATTAAAATACTTTAAATACTTTAATAATAATATCAATACTATTAATGATGATGATGATGATGATGATGTCATCATCATGATGATGATAATAATAATAATTATTATTATTATTAAGTTGAATATTATTTTTACTAATTAATTAAGTAAAGTTTGTTAAGTAATTAGTTTACTAATTAATTAATAAACTTTACTTTTACAATTTGAAACATGTAAACCAAGGCCGAAAGTTCTAACCACCAGGCCAATGTCATATACAGTACAGATCCTTAATAAATAACCCACTATAAATTAAAAGAATTAACATATGCTTTTTGTTTTCACAAGCTTTGGAGACGTAACAAATTCCGCTTTTAAATAATAGGTCGCCTAAAGATTTCGCTATGAGGCTGTGTTTAAAATGACATCAATGTTTTCAAAGTGCACTGTGAAGGGAGCACAATTGTAAACATGAAGATCGCTAAAACTGAACTGTAAAAAAAGGTACACCGAAGAGAGATAACCTTAATGATTTTTTATTTTTAATGAGTCCAACTTTGAATATTAGAATGTTCTAAATGAATAGGGCATAGGGGATAAACGGGAATAGAACACAGCCAGGAACTATTTTTCTAATTAAAGCTCCAGAGCTGTAGTTTCGAGTGCTCAAGTTTGTGACGCAGCTTGCAAATGTTCGTTGGTGCAACAGATTTGGGAAATGGCAAATCAACAAACTATTTTTGAAACGACGAAACTTGCGACCTTAGTTGGCTAACGATGGTTTTGGGAAACGCACCCCTGCTTGGTTCTGATAGTCAAGTCATGGGATATATTATTAGCACTGTTCCAGCCTCTTCACCCTTGTGTATTACTCTGAATGCCAAGCAGAGGACCAAAGTCACAACAGTTTGACGAACATTGCAGCTGTTGGACAGCATAATGCACTTTTAAGACTATTTTAGGCGAGAATGCAACTATGCAGTAAAGATAGTGATATTGATATGTTTGCATAATTTCGAATGGGACTTTGGCCATCACCCTGTCATATTGAGGAAAAAAGCTAATAAATTTACAGTTGACGTCTACATTCTTCTGACGTTACATTTGTTCTATAATAAGTACTTAGGGGAAGAATTTTTAATATAGCTGAACAAATCATTAAAGAACAGGTTAGTGACATTCTAGGTTGACCTCTCTCTTTTATACTTTTTATGGCTGTATTTATTCTATAGTAATCTAGTTGTAGTTAAAATTACTTAGCCGAAAAGAAACTGTATGAAAAAATGAATGAATAATCTAGTAGTGTTTTAATTTTTTGTGAATAACCAGTTGCAACAGAGAAATACTGGGAGATCTCTGTAGACTGATGGCATTTCCTGCCGTTCAGCCTTACTGTGCATTTACACCAAAAGCAGCGAGAGATTCAAAGTAGCCAGAAGTCATTCATTTTTAATGGAAGCTGATAGTGATAAGAGGCACGAAGCAGAGCAACGCGTCTTAGCTGATGTGGGCGTAGTTGACATCAAGTCAACTGTATGGTAATGAGCTATGATGCAGTTCAGCGGCAAGCAATCGGAATGTAGAAGTCCACCGATTGAGAGGAGTCCAAAGAAAATAGTCCTGTGAACTTTGGTTCCGTCACAGTTGTTCCCAAGGATTTCCATTTTTTCACGATGTTTTCTTACAGGGACATAATTTAAAAAAGTTACTGGTGAGTTATCGATGTGCATTAATGTTATATATGTTTTTTTGTTAGCGAGAATCTCATGCTAATTACAGCATAACAACAATACAAAACAGTATTGCTGCTTCAGAGTACTTTTATACATATGGAAATATTATCGATATAGTCGAGCAAAGACACAACACATGCAACGACTTGATCATTCATAGTTAAATTAATTTGATAAAAGAGACACAACCTATTTTTTTTTATGTGGGAATGTCATCGACTTGCTCCAACAGCTCTTTTAAATGTGAGATTAATGTTGCAAATTTTGAAGCTTTAGTCGGTGGGACAGCAATGTCGCCAGGGTGGCCAGAGTGAACGTTGCTGCTCTCACAGCCTTCGCTGTGAAGGCACAGTTCTAATCTTAAAATGTGAGCAAAATCATCTATTTTGTCATCACTTAGACATTTCAATACTTATGCTAGGGAGTCATTTAAATGCTAGTTCTAGAGTGACGTTAGTGAAGAAGCAATCTGACGATCAGCTGCAGATGTGAATGAATAGCGGAAGAAAGTAGTTCCTCATACAAAAGGCTTTTTGAGACTTTGTGTTTAATCCTCTTTTTTTAAATACACAATTATGACAACTGTTGTATAAACGCAATATCACACTGTTAGCACTGCAATATTGCTGTGTATCGGCATTACTGGCACACTAAGGCACTCAGCTTGTGGCCTGAGCCAACACATGCCTCCCATTAGAGGTCTGCATTCTCGCGGCTGTACCACAGGAGCCGCGGGACCCGACCAGATTTCTTGCAGCGCGGGAATAAATTTCCGAATAAATCGCGGGAGCGTTCGGTAACTGGTGTAATTTTGGACGGGAGCGGGCGGTCTAACAATATCGCTCCTGACTCCGGAACGAGCGAGCAAGCATGCCTATGTATGTGTGTGAATGAGAGAGCATGATGCTGTGTTTAGCTTGCTTGTTGCTGTCTATGTGTGTGTGTGTGTGTGTGTGTGTGTGTGTGTGTGTGTATGTGTGTGTGTGTGCGCGAATAAGAGAGAGAGCTTTGTGCTTTCTGTGTGTGTGTGTGTATGTGTGTGAATGAGAGAGAGCGTGATGCTGTCTGTGTGTGTGTCAATTGCTTGGTGCTTATGTGTGTGTGTGTGTGTTTATACAGACAGCTTGTTATAGGCTGTCTGGACTTTGTACAGCTGGGTGGTTTTTGGTTTTGTTCTCCCCCGCCTGTTAGCGGGAAAACAGGGCGGGTCGGGCAGCAGGACAACAAATGCTAAATTTAAGCGGGAGCGGTCGGGTTCAGATTAAAACCTGGCGGGAGCGGGATTCAAAATGTAGTCTCGTGCAGATCTCTACCTCCCAGCAGTGCTGATACAGTATTCATCCATATCGCACTGCTACTCATTTAATCATGCTCATATATATAACAATAATTTTAGGTAACATACACATCCATAACACAAACCTTGTAGGAAAAAATCTAATGCTGAAGTTTAGAGGTTTAAATAAACCTAGGCAGCCATCACTAATTCAATGGCTTTCTCAATACAGGAAAATAAACGTTTAGCTTCAGTCTATTCGGTGCCATATCTCAACATAAATGTGTCATAAAATCAATGTCAGCAAGTGAGAATACAGCTAGAGAAAAGTGCTGTGGCCTCAGCTCTTGTGAATGTGTTCTCGGTCAACATGAGCTGTAAATTAGGCTGACGTCTTGAATAGATTTTTCTGTCTGTCTTCATACAAAAGGAGACATCATTTCAAAACCAGATTGGCCTCTGATTTTTAAAAAAAATCTATAACTGTCTGTCTTTTGCAGGCAGCCATTGATGTTCCCATCATCCTGTTCTTTACGGCTGCACTCATTTTCTCTGCATTGTGTAGATGTTGTAATATTATTATGCGTCACTGGGTCTAAGTGCTGCCAGAGACGACGGCTGTGTGCATAATTGTGCAAGACAAAGGCAAAGATGGTACTTACTTTGGCAAGACTAAAACCTGCACTATGAAGATGCAGAAGAAAATGAGACAAGCACAGGTGACGTAGTACTTGAAGGCCGGCAGAGTCGTGGCTCTGTACTGTTAGAAGAAAGAGAAGGAAGAAAAATTAATATATCTTCACTTTTCTTTAGTGACCGAGTCTTTACAGCTGAGACTGCTGCTGTTCAATGACACATCTCAAGGTGAAACATACCTCTTTTTCAAGTGCCTTGTTATGAAAGAACAGAGATATCCTTTGAATATCCTCTGATTTCAGCCACTGTCTGGAAGAAAGAAAGCATTTTTGAGATATCGATGACAGGTAAATGGTCACTGACATGATAAATCACATTAATAATAGCTTGTGTGGTGGCAGTGATGGAGGGGATGATTTAATAAATATGCGTTATGCACTTTGGATGTGCAATATTTTCTAGTAATTCTGCTATGATTATGCATATCTTATGGTTAAAGACCGCTCAGATGATTTATGTCAAGACATTTGTCATGTTTTTGTCCTAAAAATGCTCTTGTGTGTTGGATTTGTTTCATTTGCATCCTGCATGCTTATTCCAAAATGTCATTTTAATAAGTGATATACAGAGGTTCAGGGGTGTCCAAACTCAGTCCTTGAGGAAAGTCCTGCAAAGCTTTGATCCAACCCCAATCAGACACACTTGGGCTAGCTAATCAAGCTCTTATGCTGTGGTCACACTAGAGTTTGAGCATGTGAATTTCTGTTGTACGGCACATTGAAAAGGGGCAGGATTAAACAGGATGATTAGACATGAACAAAAGCGAGTGATTGGACCATATTTGAAACTTCTGTAAAGAGAGGTCATGATTTGATCTTCTATTGGTCTCACACAGTCACCTGTTCATCAAGCTTGAACTTTCCAATGCAATAAACTGCGAAAATTTTTGCATGAGCTTGCGTTTTCAGTTTGTTAAATTTGGATGCATATAAATGGAAGTCTATAAGGGTGAAAAGTGTAGGCCGCAGCTTTACTAGGCTTTTTAGAAACATCCTTGCTGGTGCGTTGAGGCAAGTTAGACCGAAAATTTGCAGCACACCAACCCTCCAGGACTGAGTTTGGACACCCCTGCACTAGGTAAACCATTGTGGCATGATAAAGCAAGGATTTTGTTCAGCCAGTGTGTTGATTTCTGTCTTCTATTTAACTGAAAACATTTTAAATGTTAAAATGAAAAGATAAATACAGAAGAAAAATAGATGTGTTTAATAGATGTCTAATAGAAAGCTTTTGACAGTTTGGCTAAAACAAGGCTAAACTTGGGCTGTCAGTGAAAATCTACTAGACATCCAAGAATAACCCAAAACTAGACTAGTCGTCAAACATTCTTAGACGTATTGGATTTTCAGCAGCAAGACATATCAAAAGACTCAAAAGTTCACCCAAAACCCAAAATAATCTCATCACAAACTTGTTCCAAACCTGTTTGTCTTTTTTTTTTTTTTTTAAGAAAAAATTGAATACCTGCAACAACTGACATCCATAGTATGAAAAAGCACTGCAGTGTTTGGGTGTTCTGTGTTTGAGGTAATTAGTCTACCAAAATGTACATATTTCAAAGTATGAAGCTGATCAGTCAGATCTTGTCATGTGACCAGCTTGAACAAGTTGCTGGTCAAGTTAAAAGCAGTGGAAAGTTCTTTAAAGACTGGATATAGACTGCATTTCACAGAAGTATTTTTGTTTTTACGCTCAATGAAATCAAAGTAATGTCTGCATTTCCACTTGAAGAAGCAGCCACTATCGACAGCAGCCATTTCAGCTCACGTTCACCAGTAATTTAAAAGTGCATGGTTATTAACTGATGCATGGAGAAGAAAAAGAAGTGTAAAGAGTTGTCTGTGTATTAGAGGAAAAAAAAACATGGACAATGTCAGTGCTATAAGTCTATCTCCAGAGATCTCAATGTTCCAGTGTCCATTGTATGCTGTAAAGAAGTTTACAGCCCATGGCACTGTGGCTAAACTCCCAGGACGTGGACAGAAAAGAAAAATTAATGAACAATCACAATGAAGGATTGTTCGAATGGTGGATAAAGAACCCCAATTAACTTCCAAACAAATTCAAGTTGATCTTCAAACCCAATGTCAGCTCACACTATTCATCACCATCTAAACAAAAAGGCATGGAGACCCAGTAGGACACCACTGCTGAGCATAAAAAAGAAAGGCTGGAGTTACCCAAAACTTATGGGCAAGACCACAGTTCTTCTGAGAGAACGTACTGTGGACAGATAAGACGAGTTGAGAGTTTTTAAAAGAAAAGAATAAGTTTACAGAAAAAGAAATGAAGCCTTCAAAGAAAAGTACAAAGTCCCAACAGTCAAACAGAGGAGGTTCAAAGATGTTTGGGGATTGCTTCTGGCAAAGTGCTTGAGAGTTCTGAAATGGCCAGTAATATGTCCAGATCTGAATCCCATTGAACACTCAAAACAGCAGTTGGGAGAAGACACCCCATCAAATCTGAAGGACCTGGAGCAGTTTATAAAAGAAAAGTGGTAAAAACTCCTATTGAGAGGTGTAAGAAATGGTTGGTTTCAGTAATTTATTCCAAAAGGGTGCTACCAAATACTAAGTAAAGGGATACTTTTGACCAGTGTATTTATTGGGTTCCGTGCAAACAAAAAATAAACACATTGTTCACAAAATATTTGTTAGAATCACCAGCGGTCTAGCTACTGCAGATTGCTGGAGAACGTTCGAGGTTACAGAAGTAACCCTTCGTTCCCCGAGGAGGGGAACGGAAGTGCCATGAATGGGAGGATTCGGATCAGAAGCCGCTTATCTGGAGAGTATTGAACGGGCCAATGAATGAAATTAATTGGCAGCGTAAGCTTGCGCAGGTGTGCGACATCTGCAATTATCTCAGCATATAAGCACACCTGAAGCCAGCAGACGCCATCCTTTTAAGCTGAAGAGACTTTCAAACAGCTAAGGGACAGTCATTATGGCGACGGAATATGGCACTTCCGTTCCCCTCCTCGGGGAACGAAGGGTTACTTCTGTAACCTCGAATGTTCCCCTTCGGTTGGGGAACTTCAGTGCCATGAATGGGAGAATATGGAAAGCGCCATAATGACTGCACCTTACCAACACCCCCGATGAGGAAATAGTCAAGCAAGCGTGACGCACCCACATCATGGGGGGCGCGGTCCTCCAACGTGTCCCTGGCCCTAATTTATCCTACTTCAACAGAAGTTTTACGGATTTAGATATATTTTTTGGGAAGTCGTGAGCATCTAGATAATTCTAGGAAATACGACAGTACGTTGGGAAGCGTGCAATCCCGATAGGGAGGACGCTGCGGAGGCCATCCGTTACCCAAGGGGGGGATAGATGGCAGAATTTACCTATGGACTAGCCCTAAAAAGGGGGAGTACGCATAGCAAAAGAGTGGTTAGCGGAGAGGGAAGACACGGGTCCACCCAGGGGGGGGACTTAACCGTGGCGGAATAAGCATATGGGATCGCCTAGTGGGGATCACGCATAGCAGGCACCTATACCCAAAACGCGGGCTGACCAGCGGGCAGACCTACAACGTAGTGGGCCAGCAAGTGACTCCTCCGCTGAGTCAGTGCTGGGGGCCACGGAGGAATCTGCAGGGCTCACCTGACGGGGAACTTTACTGACAGATAAAAAAGCCGCACGTACCTCCGTGTTAGGGAGAATGGCGCCGCAAGCGTGTTTCAACACCCTACCGAGTTGTCTCCTCAATCACCAAAAAGGGTTACCTAATACCCTTGAGGAAACCGGCTCCACTCGCAGATTGTAAAACCTTGCAAATGTGTTGGGTGTCGCCCAGCCCGCAGCCTTAGAGAGGCGCCGCGTGCACGCGCCCAAGAGGATGCAACGCTCCGAGTGGAGTGTGCACGAACTCCCGGGGGACACGGCTGACCTCGACTCGAATAAGCGAGTGAAATGGCATCCACAATCCAGTGGGATAATCTTTGTTTTGATACGGCACTTCCCTGCTGCCGACCGCCATAACAGACAAAGAGCTGCTCAGATGATCTAAAATTCTGAGTACGGTCCACATAAATGCGCAGAGCGCGAACTGGACAAATTAAAGAAAGGGCTGGGTCTGCCTCCTCCGGGGGCAGCGCTTGCAGGTTCACTACCTGATCTCTAAAGGGGGTGGTAGGAACCTTGGGCACATAACCGGGGCGGGGTCTCAGGATGACGTGAGAGTAATCCGGCCCGAATTCCAGGCACGAGTCACTGACCGAAAATGCCTCCAGGTCCCCGACCCTCTTGATGGAGGCCAACGCAACCAGCAGAGCTGTCTTCAGGGACAGAAATCTTAGAGATACTGATTCGAGTGGCTCAAAGGGATCGGATCGCAGACTCGTGAGAACGAGGGCGAGATCCCAAGAGGGCATGAGAGGGGGGCGAGATGGATTAATTCGCCTAGCACCCCTAAGGAACTGGATGACCAGGTTATGCTTTCCCACGGTGCCGCCAGCTACCGCGCTATGATAAGCGGAGATGGCGGCCACGTAAACCTTGAGAGTGGAGGGCGACAGCCTGCTGTCCAACTTCTCTTGAAGGAAAGAGAGCACAACACTAATCTGGCAATTTCGGGGGTCTTCTCTGCGAGAGACGCACCATTCAGTGAATAGACTCCACTTCAGGGCGTAGGCGCGCCTCGTGGAGGGGGCTCTAGCCTGAGTGATGGTATTAACCACCGCAGTCGGTAGGTTACCTAAGTCTTCCTCGCGTCTAGGGACCACACGTGGAGGTTCCAAAGATCGGGGCGAGGGTGCCAGATGGTGCCCTGTCCCTGAGAGAGTAGGTCCTCTCTCAAAGGGATCCGCCAGGGGAGGGCCGTCGCGAGGAGTGAGAGCTCTGATATCCAGGTCCGGTTGGGCCAAAGGGGCGCAACTAGCAGAACCTGTTCCTCGTCCTCCCTGACCTTGCACAGAAACTGCGCGAGCAGGCTCACTGGGGGAAACGCATACTTGCGCATGCCCCGAGGCCAGCTGTGGGCCAGTGCATCCGTGCCGAGAGAGCCCTCGGTCAGGGAAAAAAACAACTGGCAGTGAGCGTTCTCGGGGGAAGCAAACAGATCGATCTGGGCCTCCCCGAATCGCGCCCATATCAGCTGAACAGACTCGGGGTGGAGTCTCCATTCTCCAGGGCGTAACAGCTGTCGTGAGAGCGCATCGGCTGCACGATTGAGCGTGCCTGGGACGTGAATGGCGCGCAGCGATTTCAGCCGCGGGTGACTCCAGAGGAGCAGACGGCGGGCGAGCTGAGACATGCGGCGAGAGCGCATACCCCCCATGCGGTTGATATACGCCGCCGCCGCCATACTGTCCGTCCTGACCAGCACGTGTTGCCGCTCCAGCACCGGTAAAAAGCGGTGGAGAGCGAGGAACACTGCCAACAGCTCTAGGCGATTGATATGCCAATGCAGCTGGGCACCCTTCCAGAGGCCCGCAGCCGCATGCCCGCGACACACGGCCCCCCAACCCGTGTTGGAAGCGTCTGTTGAAACAACAACATGGCTGGACGCCTGTCCTAGAGGCACACCGGCCTGTAGGAACGAGGGGTCGTTCCAAGGGCTGAGGGCGCGGCGACACAGCGCAGTAACCGAGACCCGGTGTGTGCCCGCGTGCCATGCGCGTCTGGGGACCCGATCGTGAAGCCAGTGCTGAAGTGGTCTCATATGGAGCAACCCGAGCGGCGTGACGGCGGCTGCGGATGCCATATGCCCCAGGAGCCTCTGAAAGAACTTTAGTGGGACCACTAGTTTGCTGTCGAGCTCCCTCAGACAGTTCAGCAACAGGCGAGCGCGTTCCTCGGAGAGGTGCGCTACCATGGTGATCGAGTCCAGCTCCATCCCGAGAAAAGAAATCCTCTGCACGGGGGCGAGTTTGCTCTTTTCTCGGTTGACCTGAAGCCCCAGTAGGCGGAGATGCCGAAGCACCTTGTCCCTGTGCATAATCAATTGCTCCCGCGAGTGGGCTAAAATCAGCCAGTCGTCGAGATAATTGAGTATGCGAATGCCCGCGAGCCGAAGGGGCGCTAGGGCACCCTCCGCGAGTTTGGTGAAGACCCGCGGAGACAGAGAGAGCCCGAAGGGGAGGACCTTGTACTGCCACGCTCGACCCTCGAACGCAAACCGCAGAAATTGGCGGTGGCGTGGAAGAATGGAGACATGGAAATACGCGTCCTTCAGGTCTATGGCTGCAAACCAATCCCGAGGACGAACGCATTGGAGAATGCGCCTCTGCGTGAGCATTCTGAACGGCAGCTTGTGCAGACAGCGGTTCAAAACGCGCAGATCTAGGATTGGCCGTGACCCACCGCTCTTTTTGGGTACGATGAAGTATGGGCTGTAAAACCCACTCTCCATCTCGGCTGGAGGAACCGGCTCGATTGCACCCTTCGCCAGGAGGGCAGCAATCTCCTCTCGCAAGACAGGGGCGGACAGGGGGTTGACCCTGGAGAAATACACGCCCGTAACTTGGGGGGCCGTTTCGCGAACTGAATCGCGTAACCGAGTCTGATTGTGCGTATGAGCCACCGCGAGGGGCTGGCCCGCGCTAACCAGGCAGGCAGAGCCCTCGCTAATGGAGTCATCGCTACAATCGCTGACGTACCAGCGGTGGGGCAGCGCGGAGTGGGTGTGCTGATCCGGGAAGCACGAGGGTCCCGCGAAAGAGCTGGAGGAGAGCGATTCGCTCTGGCTCCGCACCCTGACTCCGGAGAGGGGGCTGGATGGCTGAGGAAAGGGAGACCGTCCCCCCAGCGCTCGTGAGCCACTGGCGAAGCACGTAGAGTCTGCGAGCCGGAAGGCAGCGCGTCCCGGACTGGCAGAACTCGTGCAGTCACATCCGGGGAAGGGAAAAAGTGCTCTTTTACTGATGTTTTGGTGGCACTGAAAAGTACCGTTGTTATCGGGGCCCCGCCCTCCAGCGGGGAAAGAGCAAGTTTCCTCTTCTCCGGATGGCCTGTCTCAGGGACGCTTCGCGGTCCGTTTACCGGACTTAACGGCGCCCTGGGCAGGAGGGGCTGCTTGCTTTCGAGGTGAACGCCGCGCCCGCTTGGCCGGAGGCGCAGGCGGGGGCGGGGCAGCACTCGTTGGCGGGCGCCCTCGGCGAGGAACAGCGGAGGTGGATGGCTCGGCGGGCGGAGCGGGCTTACGGCCACGCCGATAGATGACATTGCCCATCGCATCCGACTGCTCTTTCACCGCCTTGAATTCCTGGGTGAATTCACCGACGGTGTCGCCGAACAGGCCAGCCTGGGATATGGGCGAGTCAAGAAAGCGAACTTTGTCAACGTCGCGCATATCGGCCAGGTTTAGCCAGAGGTGGCGTTCCTGAACCACAAGTGTGGACATCGTCCTCCCCAGCGCACACGCGGCAGACTTAGTAGTCCGAAGAGCATAGTCGGTCGCGGTGCGCAGCTCATGTAATAAGCTTGGGTTGGACCCGCCCTCGTGCAGCTCGGCCAGCGCCTGCGCTTGGTAGCGCTGGTAGGTGGCCATCGCGTGCAAAGCAGAAGCAGCCTGGCCCGCAGCCTTATAAGCTCTGGCTCCGAGGGAGGCAGACAACCTACAGGCTTTGGACGGGAGGCGGGGCAAACCCCGCCACGTAGAGGCGCCGCGCGGACAAAGATTGACCGCGATAGCGCGCTCCACTGACGGGATCGCCTCATACCCCCTGGCAGCTCCGCCGTCAAGGGCGGTGAGGGCAGAGGCACTCGCAGCACGGGCAGAGAAAGGTGCCCTCCAGGACTGCGTGAGCCTACTGTGCACTTCCGGGAAGAAGGGGACGAGAGGCTTCGAAGGCTTCGCCTTCTGGTCCTCTACGTAGCACCCATCTAGTCGGTCCGGCCGCGGAGCTGGGGGATAAACCATCTCCAACCCCACGGCCGAAGCAGCCCGGGAAAGCACGGCTAACATGTCCGCTTCAGGATCCGATTTGACAGCGCTCACCTGCCCGGAGGGGGCGAGCGGGTCCGGATCTTCGTCGGACAGTGAAAGCCCACCCTCCGATGCCGCGGAGGACATCTGATCTCCGGTGTCAGCGAGTGTGAGAGCTACCATCTGGTTAGACGGATCACTCTCACCACCCGAAGCTTGGATGGAGCGCCGTGAGGAGCGAGAGGTCCGCGAGCCCGTGGGCGGCGGATTAGCTCCCGCTGAAACCCTCAGATCTGCCCGAGCGCCCGCTGCTTTTTTAGAGCAGGAGGCAACTGGGGTGGCTCGCTCTCTTGCGAAAGTTAGCCGCGATCTTAGCTGTGCAACGGTCATGGCATCGCAATGACGACATGAACCGCCCGCGAGCACCGCATTAACATGCTGGACCCCCAAACATGCAATGCAGTGATCGTGTCCATCATCCGGAGACAGGAAACCCCCGCATCCAGAAACGCACAGTCGGAGCGCCATCCTGAAAAGGACGTGCTGCACGACTGTGTTGCTCTTTTAGGAAAGTTGCAACTATACGCACCGCTCTGGAGGACCGGACCCAAAGAACCGCAGGCAAGGGAGTAACCCAGCTCGACCGTCTGCCACCGCGAAGACCCACTCTGGACCGGGAGACACACTCGTTCGCTCTGAAGTGCTGATCAGCAAGAGGAACCCTCATCGACTCACTCAGAAAGGATCTGAAGCGAAAAGGATGGCGTCTGCTGGCTTCAGGTGTGCTTATATGCTGAGATAATTGCAGATGTCGCACACCTGCGCAAGCTTACGCTGCCAATTAATTTCATTCATTGGCCCGTTCAATACTCTCCAGATAAGCGGCTTCTGATCCGAATCCTCCCATTCATGGCACTGAAGTTCCCCAACCGAAGGGGAACTACAAATCTGACACATTAACGAACTACAACTCCAAGCATGCACCACGCACATCGGTTCCTGATCCAGACTGATTACAAACTCGCACAGGTGAAGCTGCTTAAGCACTCATTACATGGACTATTCATGCAGCGCGCACACACACACACTCACACACACGCATTGCTGAGTCTTGTTGTTACCTGTACACATTAAGCCTGATTTATACTTCTGCGTCAAGTGACCGGCGTAACCCACGGCGCATGCAACGCACGTGGCTGTGCATTTATATTTCTGCGCGCTGTCTCTGTTGGTCTGGATTAACACTTCCGAAACGCTAGTTGGCAGTGAGGTGTAAATGTTCCTTTGTGTTGTTTCTTCGCTGCTTTTTTGCTTTTCCTGAACACTTCCGGGATGTACAAGTTGCTGAAACTCGCTCATTTTGAGGCAGCAACCGGCGGACATGCAGCAACTTTAACTATGAGGTAAACACAAAACAAAACTTTCCATCTGAAGCTCCTTCACGGGACTCCACACTTGTAAACAATCGCTACATTGGGTTTGCACCATTCGCGCGGCTCTCGGTCCCGCCCAGACTCGTCAGCGCTACCAAGCCGACCAATCACAGAGTTTGCGCTACGCGTCGTTGCGATGTGTAGTTACAATTTTTGAGTGGTGCACGTCAGTGACGGCGACGGCCAGGGCGAAGGGCTATGCGTCAGCGCCGTAGCATACGCCGGTGTTTGACGCAGAAGTATAAATCAGCCTTTACAAAGCATTTCTCCTTGCCTTACTCTGCAATGTTAGATTATTTGTGTTTATTGTTTTCTGGTGCAAGCCACCTGGACCGACCTCTTTGTTTTTGACATCTCTTTTAGGATTGCCCACATAATACTGTTTGCACCTGTGCTTGACCATTGCTCGCCTGACCACTCTCTGTGTGAATAAAGACTCTGCAATTGGTTCCTCACCTCTGTTGTCACATCCGTATTGTTACAATATTGCCAACTGTAACAATTTTATGAGTGAAGGGTTGCATTTTCTGACAGAACTGCAAGGGTGCCAATATTTTCACGACTGTTAACTTAATGTATTTATATTATACATTTATTTCCAGATTAGTTATGTAGGGTCAGGTGTGATCCTTGTCATCATTTGGCTATTTTCTAGAGCTATTTTTTCCAGGAATCCATGAATATATGAATAAGATGCATTATGGATACTTACTTCTGTGAGTTGATGCCATCAATAGTGCGAATGATTCTTTCATTTAACTCCTCTTCAAATCTCTTCTTCTGAGATTTTGTTCTGAAAGGGGGTGGAAAAGAAAAAAGAAAAAGGGACTTTAAAGAACCTTAGAAATGTAGATAAGGTCAGAGTGAACATGAAAGATTATTCCCTCTTGATTTTTTTGTCACATAAAGAAACAGACATAAAAAAACAGACCTTTCAGACCTTTGCTGACAGTTGTACTGCCCTAATGGGACATCCTGTAAGAAAAAAATGAGATGAATACAATTTAAAGAGTGCTTTCATATTGTAACATAAGCAATATGATGGCTGGAATCATCATTTAAAGCAAGGCAAGATTCTGCAGGTGATTAGGTAAAAATTCTAACTTTTTTGGTATTAAAATTTCTATCATCCTGTAATCTATGCAAATGAGACATTACTTCATTAAATATGACTTATTTGTACATAATACAAGCGCACAAACATGAACACTGGATAAAGAAAGATTTAAAAGTCATAGTTAATTTTATGTCGCATTTGAATCAAAGGTTTTTAGAAGCTTTTTCAGATTTTTATAATATCCAAAAACACTTTAGAATAATTGTGCATGAGTAAAAGTTGATTAACGTATTTACTGACATTAATTAAATATAAATAATCATGTAAAGCATTTTTAAATATTAGTTCAACATTTACTAATGCCTATTAAAATCCGAAGTTGTGCTTGTTAACATTAGATAATGCACAAAGAGCTAACATGAGCTAATGTTATTTTACTTAAATAATGTTAACTAATGGCAACAGGAAGGAATAAATACTGTCATTAATGAATTGCTAATTGTTTGTTCATGTTAGTAAATACATTAACTAACATTAACTAATGAACCATTATTTTAAAGCGTTCCCAAACATCTTTCAATCAATTTATAGTTAAAAATAATAATAGCCAGAAAATAAACAAAATCAATAATACAAATAAATAAAAAATATAGATTTTGTCTTATTTTATTTTGCCATATTATGTACAAACCCATGTATTAAGTGTTTTATTAAGTAGAACACCTTATGACAAGCCAAAATCTTAAAACTCACAAGTGCATGAAAAACTGTTTTGCCTGCAGTGTCTGGTCTTAAATTAGATTCTCTGTATTCTTTGCATGTTTGTTCAGGGCGACTCACCCGTGTGTTGATCATTCCATTCTCATTGGTCATGCTGTCTCGATGGTGGAGGTTAGCAAAAGGTTTAGCAGCTCCCCAGGACTCCAGGTACTGCGTCATGCGGACAGACGCTCTCATCTTCGCTCCGTACATAGTGGGCCGAATAGCAGAGAGAAGCAGAGGACTGCGCTTTTCTGCCTAGAAACACCATAGAATGATGCACATGTTAAATTGATGTGCTATAGGCTAGAGGTGTTAGCACAGAAATACAAAAATCAGACAAGATTATGTACTTAAGTGGTGGGTCACAGGTGTTGCCAATAACCCATTTTTAGATTCAAATATACCATGATATGAAACAGATGTTCAGGATGTTGCTTTTTACTTTTAGATGCTAAAACATTTTGGTTTTATGTTGAGGTGATACTGATAATAATAATCATTTTTGTTGCTTGTTCAAACAACTTATTTAAAATAAGCTAAAACAACACAATTCTTGAGATTCCTTTGGAAAAGTGTAAATGTTTTATGCTCAATCTACTTAAATTTGTAAAAACCATTAAGTTAAATTAATTTATTTATGTTTTCCCAACACAAACAGATTGTGTGGAAGCCAGCAGTTTTTACAATGAAGCAATTGCATGCACTGCTTATTTAAAATGAGCTAAATCAACACAATTCTTGAGATTTTTTTTGGAACAACTTAATTGTTTTATGTTCAATCAACTTAAAATTGTAAAAACAATGAAGTTAACTTAATCGATTTGTGTTTTAACAAATTGCTGGGATTGTGTGGAGCCCTGCATTATTATTATTATTATTTTTTTTTACAATTTACACTCATAAAATGACGATTTCTGTTTGTTTAAACTACTTATTTAAAATTAGCTGAAACAACACAATTCTTGAGTTGTTGGAGGGTGGGGGAACTTAATTATTTTATGTTCAATCCACTTAAATTTGTAAAAACTAATAAATTAACTTAATTCTGTCATGTTGTCTCAACACAAGTACGATTGTGTGGAACCCTGCCTAATTTACAGTGTACATACATGTTAACAATGTGTTAAGTAACAAACATGGCACTGTAATTGAATGAACTATTTCACTAAAAAGAATCTAATATGATTGTTCATTAAGTGAATTCATGAACTACTCATATTTATTATAATTACATTAGTTAGTATAGTTAAACATAACTAAAAACATATAGCTAAAACCAATTTGTTGCTTAAAATAAATAAAGTTTGTTAAAAATCAAACAAAAAGTGATTTTGGCGTAATTAATCAAAACCCTTTATATTGGTCCCTATTGTACACTAAGTTGACAGTGCAACTACATGCAAATGACTTTTAATTTGAGTATTAGTAGACTATCTGCTTAATATTTGCTAATATATATATATATATATATATATATATATATATATATATATATATATATATATATATATATATATATATATATATATATATATATATATATATATATAAACAAATTCTAATGTAATAGCCATGTTAATATAGGCTTTTTAAATATATTATTTCACTGAGTATTTTAGACTTAAAATTTTGCTGTTTAAATAAACTATGTTATAAATATTAATATATAATAAATATTGTTTTTTAATATAAATTTGGCCTCTGACCAGAAAAGCAACTTAATTAAACATCAAACCAAGAAAGGATCACTTCTTAACCAAGCCCTAACATAAACATTAATTCAGTTTGTGGTCTTCCAATATTTTATTAATGCATTTTACAGCACAGATATTTTTAATACTTCTAAATTACAACTAAATGCCACTACAGTAGTCAGCTGCATATACTAGACTAAGTTAGTCATGTTGTTTTTCTTAAAGACTGGCCATAACATTAATAGTCAGCTACGAAACGCTTTGAATCTGAAAAGCATGACTGATTGTGAGGACTTTTGCTTATGCGACAGCTGCTTCTGTTCATTTTGCAGCAGAAAGATGGATTTTACCACTTATAATGTATGGGAAAGCAGTTTAAGTAAATTTTAGCATACACATTAAACTGAAACTTTGGAAAATCACTACCCAAAGTGTGTGGTTAGCAGAAACTGTTTATATCAAGCCTTAAGCAAGTTTTTTCCTCCTTTTTTGCATGAATGAATATGTATTTTAGGAAAGAAGTCCTTGATTTTTGAGGGTACTTGACACTACAAGTTAGAACCCCCTGCTACAGTTTAGAAGATAATAGAGACTCCCACAGATCTGTATGATCTACTTTACACCAACTTGACTCTGTGGCAGAATGATGCAAAAAAATGCAAATTGGCCTTAACCGAACAACAGGGTGAAAAAAAGAGAAAAGAATAACTAAACAAACAAGCAAAAGCCCTCCAAACTCAGATTCAGTCATCATAATGGGAGCGTGGAGGGAGTGGGTGTGCGGTGGGTTCTTGTGATAAGAGGGCCGAGAGGCTCAAACCAAACAGAAATAAATGTATGAGTCTCTTATGAGAAAAAAAAGTGCTGCCTTTGTTACCTCGGGCAAAGCAAATGCATTGTTGAAAAGTAAATAACGCACCGGATAAATAAAAGAATAGGCGTTGTTATTTGAATATATGGTGCCAGGCATTATCTGTGGGCTGAAAAACCCACACACGCATCTCAATGGACAGACATTCTGGACTCTTCTGGGTCTTGATGCTCGTTTTTTTTGAACTCGTGTTTTGATAAACAGTCTTCCCAGGGTCGTCACGTATGACCAAAAGTCACATTCATGTAGCTTGCATGGTCTGAATAATATAATTATGCTAATTAGTGCTCAAGGTGATTTGAATGCTATGCTAAATACTGTAAGTAGATGGTGATTGTTTGTTTGGTTTTAATTTAAGTTACACATTAAGGCTATATTCACACTGCATTTTATTTTGCTTGGCTGTTCACTTAACTGAATTATTTATTAATATAGGGCCAATATCAGATTCAACTGTCACATCTGATCAGTCGCAAGCTGACCCGCTTGTGCAAAGATAAAATAAAATGACATGCAGTACACTATTAAACACTATTAAAAAAATAAATAAAAACTCTGTCATGATTTACTCACCTTTTACTTGTTTAAGCAAAAAAGCAGATATTTTGAATAATGTTGGAAAGCTGTAACCATTGACTTCTATAGTATTGTTTTTCCCCATGGAAGTCAACGGTTAAAGGTTTTCAGCTTTCTTAAAAATCTCTTCTTTTGCATTCAACAAAAGAATGACACTTGTAAAGGTTTGAAACCACCTAAGGGAGATTTTCAAATACTGGAAACAGCCATTTTTTGGTGAACTATCTCTTTAACATGGAGGTCACTGCAATTACTATGCCACTGGATAAAGCGGACAAAGCCGAAGATGAAGAGATGTGGATCATTTTACCTCATGTTTTGCTTGTATAGAACTGCCAGAGTGATATTTTTTACACCTTTTTTATAATTATTTTAAGGTTTTCACCTTTATTGGGTAGGACAGTAGAGAGTATTGACATGAATGAACCTCGAGGCAGAAATCAAACCAAACCACACCACTGGCACCAACGCCAGATATACTTAACAGGACAAATTCAGAACGGTACAATTCAGTACAGTTCATCCTGAACAGGCTTGCATTTCCACTGTCAACAGTACCCTTACTTGGTAGGCGTGGTGAAGTAAGCCTTTTAAGCACTCGAGGTTAATGTTTCAAACAAAGGCATGTGGCAAGTGCACATAAATAGAGAAAGGAAGTAGCATGAGTTGCATTTTCCACATGTTTAGAAACAACATGAGAATGGCCCCATATAAAACAATGGAGAACACACAGCAGATGCTGTTCTTGCTTCTTGGCGTCTGGCTGTTTTTCACAAGAAGACAACAAGCTTTGTTATTACCGAGCAATGTTTTGGCTGCATATTTAAAAATGTTGACGTTCCCTTGCCTTGTTGCACGTGCAAGTGATGATTTTCTTTAAACCTTCACCATTCAGCAGAGAGTCTAGCTCCCTAACATTTTGGAACAATACTGTTGTGCTGTATGTAAGTAGGTACCCTCATGAAAGAGGTATGGTGCGTTATTTTGGCAGCTCTGACAGTGAAAATGGGAATAAATTTCCTGAACCAAACTGTGCTGCTCAGTGGAATCAGCCCATTACTATGAAAGCAATGCCATTGCAGATTAAAGAAAATTCTGCAAGTGATCTAGTGAAAATGTGGGAATTGAACTAAAAAGGAACAGGCATTAAAAACCTGTGTAAATACCAGCAAGTTGTGTACTTGAAACTTTACTAAATCAAATAACATGACTCATTTAAATAAAAAAAATACTAAAACGTTGGCATCTGAAATGGAAACTCCTACAAATGTATATGCAATAAAGTCAACCTTATAATGACTGTATCCAAAGCATGTTTACATGTTGATTGTCTGCATCCTAATTTGTGGTCATTTATGTTGGTGCTGCAATAGGCATTACTAAAATCAGCTGCAGTATCTGTGCTCTTTAATTCATTCAAGAGTTCACACTTAGCTCAGGATTTATACAAAGCTTGTTTGGCATGCTGTCCCGGGAGAGAGCATTGAGCTCAAGGGATCCTCGAGCCCAGGGCTCCCCCCCTTTTGCAGGGCGAGTGGAGATTGAGCTCAGGTCTATCTCAAACTCCCCTGCTGCTGAGGCCAAGGCGAACTTCCTGAGAGTAAGACATTATAAAAAAGGTTTAAGCTTATTTTATCTATAATATAGAGCACATTTGGATGGTGGGAGGAAACCGGGGAACCCGGGGGAAACCCACGCAGACACGGGGAGAACATGCAAACTCGACACAGAAATATCAGATGGCTCAGCGAGGACCCAACACCAATGGTATTCTTGCTGTGAGGCAACAGTGCTAGTCACTGGGCCACCGTGCCACCCATTCTGGATAAAGGAGGAAGAAGGGGAGGAGGGGGGTTTCTTCCAGACGAAGATAGTTGTAGAAAGGAAATGAGGATATAAATAGTGATTTGGGATCCTTTGATTGGAGGATCATAATCAGCTAATGCGGACCAGCTGGGTCAATCATGAGCACATGCTTCTCTCGAAATTAGTTTAAAATTAAACTTCACTTCACTGACATAAGATCACTTGCGAAACTTTCTACTCCCACTGGCACTTTCAGTGGTCGCACTCTCGTGCGAATGTTCTCTTTTTAATCAATTTTGTTCTAAATG